GTGATTCTCTAGAGTACAGTCGGAGTCCTGTTATAGCTTCACACCCACCAGCAAAACTACAGATTTATGCAGTGCAAACACACACACTCCAACACACTTTTCTGTACGCATGCCGCTGGCAGATTATCCACCTGCAGCAGCCTTTTGCAGCAGAGTGGCATGGGTTAGCAAGCCATCGCTACGAGCCGGTCTTTGATGTAAGCTGCTCAGTGTGTGTTTGAGCATGGAGAGCGAGGGGAGATAAGGGGGTCAAATGCTGAGAGGGGAGAGAGAAATTCCGAGACAAAGTGGTAGAAACACGGCTGGAGAGGATGGGAGGTGTTTGTCCCAGAGGACAGAGCTGGAGGCGAGGTGAAGAACAACAATATGGAAGACTTCAGCACATAGCTACAGTGCAAATAAGGCAGATTATTTGCCTATGGCATAAACAACACAGATGTACTGTAGGGGCAGAGGAATTATGTTGTACAGAAAGTAGAAAGTAGAGATGGACTACAGTGGAGTTTATGCAAGCCCTATTTTATTTCTTTTTGTAACAGAAGGGGGCTGTTTTGATATCTCTCTCTGTGAAATATCATTGGGCTGATTTTCTATTATTTGACTCATATTTGTCTGATATTCAGACATTGAAATGCACATCTATATCGAACGGGAAAGCCTTGACATTCAGCATGTGGGAGAGAAAGAGCAGTTCTCCTGCAGGTTGCCACCATATATAACAACAAACATCTGGGGCCGCTCAGCCATTTGATATTTTCTCTGTGTTTTTTTGCAATGTTTATTCGCCCTTACCTTTTATGTCCTCGGGTAATATTTGACCATGTTTGACGCCTCATATCCAGCTATTGCATCATCTTGTGAAGCAAAAAAAAAAAAGCACATTTGTCCGGTTTGAAAGAAGCAGAACTACATTCAGGAGCCAGGAAGTGAGACCACAAGGAAGGGATCTAGTTTACCCTCCTTTATATGGAGCAGATTATTTATTTTCCCTTACTTCTACTCTTCTGCTTCCTTTCTTGATTTTCCCTTCTGCTTGGCTTAAGAGGTTAGCAACGTCCACTCTGTTTCAAGGGGAAAAAACCCAGAGCCAATGGCGAGACCCCTGCTGTGCTCTGTGTCTCAGCAGGATTGACTCCCGGTGCCTTCTGATCAATCTTTAATTCCCTTGTGGGTCTGTTTTTGTATCCCTCCAAAGATTTGTGTGGAGGCTTGTTGTACTTGGTTTAATTTCCTCAGAACAAAGCTCATCTGATCTCCCCACCCAGACTTGCGTGTGGCATTAGGTCTCCGTTTTCATTAATGTTGGAGGGGCAGCAAGGGAATCTCATTTTAATTTGACATTTAAACATCTGTTTTCAATTTCCTGAGGAAGAGTGTGTGTTTATACGTGCGTGCGCATCCGTGTGTGTGCGGGTTGAGTGGGGATAGTTTGTTGGGGTGATGAACCTGGGAGTTTTCGGCACTGAGAGCCGCCATCTCAGCTGACCTTTACAAGATCGTTTGGATGTAAGAGATGATGGCAGTTAATTGCGTTAGCCTCGGCACTGCTCCAATTTGCTACTTTGGACCAGGGGAGTGATTTATCATAAGCAACATTAGAGTGTGGTTGAAGTGGGCTTCGCGGGGCCCTGCAGATGTTAGCTACTTCAAACTAAGCCTCTGCTTTGATAGAGTATGGTTGTTTTATGCACAGTCAGCTTTTTTTGTTTGACAGCGGGGCATTACAAAGAGATGAGGTAGGATGTGTTTTGTTGTATGAAAAAGAGGAAATGCAACGCAGAATAGATTCCCTTTACCTCCACAAAGCATTCTGATATCTGTCCAGGCCGGATATTTACTCTGTTTCATCCCATCATCAGCATATTTGAGCAAATCCAGGACGGACAAAGAGGCGTCTTCATGCTGAGACCTGTGACTTTGGCCCATTTCCACACATTAAGCCACACACTGAAATCTCTTTGCACACACACACACACACACACACACACACGCACACACACACACACACACACACACACACACACACACACACACACACACACACACACACACACACACACACACACACACACACACACACACTCACACACACATTGAGTTCGGCCTCCCTGTTAATAGTGCAGGAAATATTATCTGCTAGGGGACAGCTGCAGGCTCACTGGAGAGACAGAATGGTAGAGTAGGCTCATTATCCCAAACACAGACACAGACCACATCACACACACACACACACACACACACACACACACACACTTTAAGGACAGTGTGAGAAGCTGTCTATCCCATTTTTTCACCCAGTTCTGGGACAACTTGGCAAGCAGGATGTGCGCAGGAAAAGGGGATGCTGGTTGTCTTATTGAAACCAGGGGGGCCAAAGGCAACCGATTCCACCACAGCTCCGGATCTGATGGAGCTTCTGGCGGAAGAGTTTGGGCTTTGTACCCAATCCAGATCTGGCTCTTTACGTCCGTCTGTCTGTCTGGCTGTCTGGTTGCCTCTGTCTCCCTCTCCCTCATTTTGCCTCCATCCCAGAGGATTTTGTTTTTCCACTGCGCAGATGTTAGGGGCTGTCTGCTGCGCTGCACTCAGCTGTGTTTATAACAAAGAGGTGTTGGTTTGGAGGAGGAGAGAGGAGCAGCGATGGGGGGGCCGAGCTCTCGGGGTGGAGGTCATTGGGCTGTTGGTGTAAACACTGGTTGATGCCAGCTCTCCCTCTGGCCTCCAACAAGTCGATACAGCATCCCTTTTTTCTCCTCTTTTCCACTCCATACACAGTTTATTTTTTCCCCCAGAAGGACAGATGTATCTGCATGCAGGCTGTAAGAGTTACAGTGAGGCCGGCAGGGGATGTAGAGACCTGCTGAGAGGAGACGACGTGCACTTATAGTTGCAGTTAAAGTTACTGAGCTCACTCAACCAAGCATTTATTACAGACTCTGCAGGAAAACGCATGAATACGCTCTCTTTACTTTTAATTTCTTAAGTGTGCAAACTTTAAATCAACAGGGGAACGCTCAAGGGAAGCAGTATGTTCAAACCTTTAATAAAAAGGGAAAACAGGGATAACTGAAGAATAAAAAATGCACTTTTAGGAATTATTTGAGCCTATAGTCTAGCCAGTCATTCACCTTCATGTATTTACAGCTGACTTTTACAAGGCGCTTTAGACGGTGTGTCTTCAGTTGGAGCTGTTGCTTTAAAAGATCGGATGTTTAGTGTTTACATTTGCATTCCTGGATGACTGTATCTGCTTTTGACTAAACCAAATGAGCTCACTCATTCTGCAGCTGCACTGTTGAGTTTAAATTGGAACAGAGTGAGTGTAGAACATTGAGGAGGTCACACTTGTAAATGTTGTGCACGTTACTATGGAGTTATGCATCCTCTTCATGGGTGACAACAACAGATGAGTCACGGATTAATCGGATTAATCTTGTTCATGTGCATAAGAATGAAGGTTAGGTTATATAACTGCTGTATGTAGAGGTGTGTGTGTGTTTGTGTGTGTGTGTGTGACTGTGCCGCAAAAGGGGCAATTCTTTATGTGCCCATCCCAGCTCCAAGACCAGGTTCCTACTGCTGGATTGGATTCTCTCTCCACGTTACAAGAAGCAGAGAGCTGTATCTGGGCTTGGTGATGACCAATTAAGTGCTTAAAGGGTTTAGTCAGGAATTTGTTGGCTGTCAGTAGGTGAGGGGTCCTGTGGTGAGCCTGACTTTGATCTGGGACAGAGATGACTTTAGAGCGAGCTGAGGAGCGTGAGACAATAGATGGTAAAAGCTCAGAGATTCATCCCCAAAACACAGATACAAGCATACATTCACATTACTTTTCCCTGCATGTGCACAACTCACAAGCACACACTGCACTGACCTTGCATACTTTGTGTGTGGCCTGAAATTTACAGGCGGTATTTTCATGTGTTTTTTATATGTATATGCAGGGAAGCTGGGAAAATGATTACTGGCACAGCGTCTGCAGAAGGGAGCTTGTTGCTTTTTCATTACTTTCTCCCCTCTCAATAAACCTCCAGTTTATCTTTAACACCAGATATATGCAGTCCACAGATATGTGCTTCCTCTCCCCCTATATGCCATGATCTGCCTCATTTGAAGGTACCTGTTTGTGGTGATATTGATGTGATGTTCTGATACAGCTAGCAGGGAAAAGACTAATGAATTTACGTGGGGAAAGTTCTGTAATTCAGCTTCAAATGAAAACGGGGATTGCTCTGTCCATCTCCTTGAAGCCACTCATCTATTCAATACCAGATTGCAGTCTGAAATGAAAAGCTGTAGACCTCTTATGTCTGAATAATAAAAATCCATGGCTGTGTCATCTTTTTTTTACAACGTCTCTTCTCAGGAAATCAATGCAAATAAGAATCACATCCTACCAAAAGTCTTTAGCACGGCGGCAGTGGTAGATTGGATCTAATGTAGATTTTCATCTCTGATAGGAAGCATGCGTGTGTGAGTGCAGGGGATGTAAATATGAAGTGTCAGGTGGAGATGAAGAAGCGCTGATGGAGAGGAGATGATCAGTGTATGATGAAATGTGTGTGCATGCAGGTTTGTGGGGTCAACAAAGAGGAAGGTCATAGGTGTGAAAGCTGAGGGGCACAAATATGTGTTCACTGTGGATTTTGTAAAGCTTGTTGTCGGAAAGGTTTTACTGCACAAAGAATGCCATTAAAGAAGTTCCAGTATACAGAGTAGTATCCACATTTGTACCTTGGTTTAATTTAGTCAATGCTATATTTGGTTGTTACAGTTTTCACGCTGGCTAGCTGCACTAAATCAATAAAGATGTGTGCCATACATTTTGTCATCTGTGCAGAACTAATTATGTGTTTCAGAACCCCTTGACTGCTGTTTTACAAGCTGCCCTCGGCTTCATAAATGTAGCAACAGCTTTGAGTTTTTTTGCTTCTTTTTTTTCTGTTGTTTCCCCAAGAATCAAACTGACATTTTTTCTTCCTCTTCCTGTTTTCCTGCAGTTCTACGTGACGACTTCAGACAAAACCCTGCAGATGTGATCGTGGCAGCAGGAGAGCCGGCGGTCCTCGAGTGTCAACCTCCACGTGGACACCCTGAACCCACCATATCCTGGAAAAAAGATGGAGTGAACATAGACGACCGAGATGAGAGAGTCACGGTAAGACCTTTCTTTTCCGTAAACTGCATCGACTTTTACATTGATGTTGCTGACATGTTGATAGCCATGATGCCTTTAGATGGATTTGTATATAAGGTTAACATGTTAAAATGTATAAGACAGAATGACCCAGGGATGCAGGTCACGTCATTACCAGTACTTCAGGGTTTGTTGAAAGATTGATTTGTTTGCCTCATTATTCACATATAGCAATTACCAGTGCCCAAAGCGGCCCGTATCGGTGGCTGCAACCTTTAATGACTGGGGTAGATAGAATCAGTCTTGCTCCATCAGTCAGCAGCATTGCATTGATTAGGAATAGCCTGCTGATGAAATCCACTAGGAGAAGCACAGATCTTGAGGGGAAAATGAGCTGACTAGAATCAAAGAGGAGAAAGTTGCACTCAGCAGCAGCAGCTCCTGCAGACTCTGAACAACTCTGTGTGTGCTTTGCAACCAAACAGGCGGTTACTTAGCTTTAATTAAAACAACAGCTTAGCCAGCACTGCAGTGTCAATCAGCTAAATAAACTAGCTTACCAAAGCCCTGTGTACAACAGTACAAGTTCAAACTGTTAAAACTAAACACAACTGGGTCCATTTCCGTTTTCCTATTGAAGGAAGGCAGTTTTAGCTGCGTGTAATTTTACTAATTGGATATGGCTTTAGGGAAGCGAAGATCTCTACTTAGCATTCAGCTAGCATGAGCAGCTAGTGAGGAGGGAGTAGTTTTCAGTGAGTCTGGATCCCATTTAAACAATATAACCAGTTGGGTTTACAGTTTCTGGCTGCATTTTGTGCATTTGTTGAGCAGACAAATAATTTGGTCCCCAAGTTTTGACTTTTCATTCCAAACATTGGAAATCAAATGTTCCCCAGATAATAAATACAAGGACCTAATAGAAATGTTCCACTGTGTAAGCCTGGAGCGAAGCACTCGAGTCCAGACTTGGCTAGTTCTTGCTCGATACATTTTCATTATTCAGTGAGTAAAAACAGGGATTTATTCCTCTGGGCTGAGGATTGAAAATGACTAAACACAGATTTTCTCCATGAGGGCCAGTTGAGGCCGGGCATACTTGGACCTGACAGCAATTCAAACTCCTAAAGTGCACGCATTCTTATTCTCAGTCTGTTTGTAGGCCGCACAGGCAGAAGATTAAGAGTCCGTGTCTGGCTACTGAGCAGACTAATTGAAAGAAACAAGCTCATAATTAAGTTTAGATTATGATTAAGAAAATCAGGTCATATTTGTTCCTGTTAGTGGTTCAAGCACGGAACTTTGAATGCAAATAGAGAGCTCATGTGGCCTTTGATTTAAGCTTCTATCTTGTGTTTGTGTCTGTGCTGTATTTTCTATTTGCATATTTCACTTTCAGTTTGTTCCAACAGTATCACTGAAACTTTAATTTAAAACAAAACAAAAACATTTCCCGATATTTGTGTCAGATAGCTGATCTTAATTTTCTTTAAGACAAAATGGAAACACATGCGTTTATGGGTTTTATTAATTGAATCTATGCTGTTAAATGTTCAGTGTTAAATGTTCAGTGTTAAATGTTTAGTGTTAAAGGTGGGGTACTTAGAGGACAAGCAGCCCTGTTTTAACTCAGTATTAAACATTGCTCTTGTGCATATGGCTTTTCTTTTAATTTTGTTTAAGCTCCACTTAATACAAAATACACACACACATAAATGCACACACACGTACACACACTTTTTCTGTTGTTTATAAATCATCCCTCCTACCCCCTGCATGGTGGAAACCAGCACTTATCCTGGCTGCTGTATGTACAATTTTGTGCACTGAGGGGGAGAAATCCTTGGAGTAAACGATGTGAACACGGCTGCTGAGACACAGGCTGAATGACTCAGAGTTGTGTCCTTGTAGCCTGCAGCCATGTTGGGCCTTCTGTGGAGCTGAAAACAGGGTCTGGTAGATTTGACCGTGCGGCCTGAACCAGCTGGTGTTACTCACTGTAAACTTCCTGTCAAGCACAAAAGCGTACAGGCTGAGTGTTCCCAAATGAGCAGTTTAAAGTAGCACTAAGTATGTGTAATCAACTGTGCTGACAGATGCGAGTCTGGACGCTGTCCCGTGCACGCCCATGCTAACAGATAAAGTTGAATTAGAAATAGGCCAAATCATGGTGCGATATCCGGAGCGTGTTTATGCTTTAGTAAATTTGGTGGGAGCGAAAATAGGACTTTGCAGGGGGAAGCAGAGGGTGGAATCTTTATTATGTGATGAACAGCTGAGCTCGTCAAAGGGCCCCCTCATCCCGCCAGCATTGTTGTGCTTGCTTCAGTCCATTCCTCCCACCATGTGACATGCTGGAACGTGCAGTCTCCTTGGTGATCACTGGTGATCAGAGGTCCCAAACCACCTGCAGCAGGGATTTTATTCACTCAGTTCGCCACATTGCTGGGATGGGTCTTCTCGGTTTTGGTGGCTGCAGCGTAAAGAAGAGGGAGGGGAACTTCAGAGAGAGGCAGACACATCAGAGGGAACCCTCCTGTTTTTCTATCTATTTTAGTCGGCTGTGTGTAAACACAAATGACATGCTGGGTACCATCTCGCATTTATTCATGACTTCATGTGGGGCGGCTGTGAAAAGTTTCCCACTGAGCCATAAAAAGTGAAGCTGGTCTATTACCCTTAAGCTGCAGCTGGCTGCATTCCAATCCACTTTGTCAAACTGGTCTTTCAGGAACAACAAGTAAAGGATAAATAAACAGAAACAGGAGAGATTCCAGTATTAAAGCCTTGACCATTGTCTGCTTTGAGCTGCAGTCTGTCGGCATCAGAAATGGCCAAAATGCAGCATTGTCCTCCTTTTGTGTGATAGTTGTGGCTAATTATCAGCCTGGAAAATGAACCGCTGTGTGAATACCAACAGAGTGCACACCGAATGGGGGCTTTTTTTTTTTCATTATCAGCAATGCCAAATGACATGAGACAAAAGGCAACAGGATAGAGCCATCTCCCTGTAATGCAGGGATAATGGTCAGACTGTCAGGGCTTTCAGCAGACTGTGTGCTCTGCTGTGTTGTGGGGAGAGGATATGCATGCAGAGGAAAAGAGGGCAAGCTGCTGCATTCATTTACTTTAGCCCACTCTCAGAGTCCCTGCTGCTCTGGCACTCCAAATATGCCTGTGGAGAATGGGAAACTGCCACAGACACACATACAGAGGTAGGAATATGGATAGAGTGGACGCTGCCTTAAGTGGATCCTCATGTCTAAGCCCTGTGGACCCAACATAACATCCCCCCTCTTTCTCGGCTGGATGGTCTGCCCTGACCTTGGGCCTTTGTGAGTGTCACAGTGTTTTAGCTGTTAAGCCTTTGCTCAAACAAACAGTAACATAATGATACTTCAAACCCCTCCAGCACCACAGGGTGCCCTAAATAAGCCAGGCTTCCACCGCCTCTTCAAGTGCCCCTTCCTCCTGAGTTACTATGAATATTAAACAGGGGCAGAGGGCTGAGGAATGCCTCAGAAGAAGGAGAATATGTCCGGTTAGAAAGTTATCCCACAAGAATCTCAACTCACTTTAAAAATCCATATACAAACGCTTTTTGGTCTGTTTGTCTTGTGAAAGTGATGAAAACTAGTGAAGATTAAATGAGACATATCATAGCTTGCAAGTGAACACACATGTACGAGGGCTTTAACATGTCAATCACAGGGAAAGCACATTTTTGCAATATTGTGTGTCAAGTTCTCTGTCAGTGCCTCCCTAATGAGGGTATCGATTACATGCTTGCAGGTGGTGGTCCTGCTCTCGCCGACTGATGTGTGTATTTTAAACCTTAAGCCCCATCAAAGCACAGAGATCATCGGTGCTCCGTGCTATTGTCTGTCTCTGCGCTGACTGGCATGCTAGCGAGCTGGGAGAAGGACTGAGGGGCCTGTGTCGGGGCTGGGGCTGCCTCTCTGACTGCCTGAGAACAAAGCATCTCCTCTGGCCTGTAATCAAAGCCCTGGGAAATAACAGACATGACATTCACCTGGACAAACACACATGCACGGCTCGGTGTGTGTGTGCCTCACTTGCTCTCACTTGCAGTTGTATGCACACACAGACACAATTCCAAGAAAGCTATTCTTTCAAACATTCCCCCCCCCCGACAATAGACGAAACTGTCCTGAAGATCTGTGAGACGACTGGGAAAGAGCTTTCAGTCCCGGAGAGCCTCAGGTGTTACTTCAGGGAGCTGCAGTTGTGTTGGATTGGGAAAGTGTTCTTTGGCTTGGGCTTATCCTGAGGGGGACTGATAGTGATTTTAGACTTCAAGTGGAAGCTGAGAGGGAACCGCTAAAAGTGAAGATAAAATCCTGTTCTTCTGTCTGTTAAAGCTCAGTACAAACCCCCCAAAAAACACAATTGAACACCAAAACATTATGTGTTTTCCACTACTTTCCCTCACTGTGTTGAAATGCTGACTAAAACTCGCAGGAATTTCCAAAAGCAATTAAGGAAATGTTTTGTAATCTTCAAGCTCGTTTCTGTTTTCTCTCCGTCAAACAAATATCCAAATATGTCTCTAATATTGCTGTTTTTCCTCTCCATGTTTAGCCTCTCACCTCCTCTTCCTCTTCTGTTCCTTCAGATACGTGGAGGAAAGCTCATGATCACAAATGCCAGGAAGAGTGACGCCGGGAAGTACGTTTGCGTCGGCACAAACATGGTCGGAGAACGAGAAAGTGAAATAGCAGAACTTACAGTGCTTGGTAAATGATCTCCCTTTTTCTCCTTTAAAGAATGAGAATTTGTTGTCTTTTTTTTTTACTGTCAGTGCACATTCACACACACGCACACACAACATGTTTTTTTTCTGTTTCTGCGCAGCGAGAAAAAGATGATAACTTTGATCGTCTATCTCCCGGGGAGCTAAATGGTGTCACTGACCTGTATCAGATAGAGTGTGAGATGACCTCCAATCTCACACTTAACTATGAATCCCACGCCAGCCCCCAGTGGCTTCTCTCCTATGACCAGCTGCACCCTATTTCACCACAAGTGACCTCTGACCCCAACACTCTGCTGTGTCCCAAACAGAGAGCATGTCCAGACTCCTGATTCTCTCACCAGCTTTGTACTTCCTCCACCTCTCCTCCTCAGAGAGCTCTTATAATCCTTCAGAAGGAGAAAAACAAACACGTGTTCTTTAAGATAAATAATTCCACTACAATAATTCTGACAGGGCTTAAATCAGTTGGTGAATCTGAATTAATCGTAAACCTGGTCCATTTCTGGGACAAGTATGATGGAATGTGTTCGGAGCTACTGAAAGTTACGCTTTTTGTTACCAGAGTGAACCAGAGATGAAAAGAGAGTAAGACTTTCTGTGTCTAGGTTTTTTTATTGTCCTGTCCTTAATTAGTTTAGTGTTCCGTCATGCGTAATTTAAACCACACGCTACAAAGCAGGACCTCTTTCCAGTTCTTAGTTTGACTTGTGAAGACTGTGTACTGTCTAGTCTGGATTGTATTTTTAACTTGTTTAATTGGATAACCATAAATTATCTGCAACCTCCTCACGTCATGTCTTTGGAGACAAAACCTAGTTATAACGTCACATTATTTCGTTATTTTATTCTAGAACACCTCATGTGACCCAAACTGAACGATTTAAACTAAACTTTTTCAAGATGTATTTTTCCGCTGGGTTTTATTCAATTTTCAATTTATATTCAATCGTAGCTCTAAAGCCTGACTGTAAAGCCTAAAGCCAAGATATATTGAGGGATTCAAAGCCACCGATTAAATGGCTTTAACTTAATTTGTGTGCTGTTTTTATCTGTGCAGAGCGTCCCAGCTTTGTGCGTCGCCCAGGCAGCCAGGTGGTATTAGTGGACCAAAGTGTGGAGTTCAGGTGCGAGGCCCGAGGTGACCCAGTTCCCACCGTTCGCTGGAGGAAAGATGATGGTGACCTACCTAAAGGAAGGTATGAGTCATAAACCTTCCTTCCTTTACCCTCTGCCTGCCTTTTGTTTGATCCACTGTCGCTTTTGTTTGCGGCATCTGCTGACGCATGTTGCATTCAGTGAGTTTTTGTGTTTGACAGCGTTAATACATGAATACATGCCTTAATCCAGATATGAGATCCGTGAAGACCACACCTTGAAGATCCGTCGTCTAACCTCGGCAGATGTGGGCTCCTACAGCTGTGTGGCAGAGAACATGGTCGGCAAGGCGGAGGCATCGGCCACGCTCACCGTCCACGGTAAGACAGAGTTCTTTTTTTTTTTCTTTACAAAGTTAATTTGCAAAATTTTCCAATTACAGTCATTCTTAATTAATTTCCACTCTGGGTTTTCTGTGCAGCTTGATTCAAATGCAGTTTAGCCCAGCCATATTGCAATAATAGCCTCCAGCTTTAGTGCTACACGGTCATCACATTCAACTTTTCTCTCTCAATTAGCCGATTGATTTCTAATAAAAAGAAACGCAGGAATCCATAAGAGCTGTAGAGTTGTGCACAAGGGAGCTCAACAACAATCGATTTCATTTGCCCTATACAAGTGGCATTTCTCCGGAGGCCTGTCCTCCTTCATGTTTACAGATATACAGTAGTATTTGGGAACCTATGGAATATCTGTGTCTCCAGTGACCCTTTCCTTTGGACGTCTTATTAACACAGTTGGAATATAAAGCAGCTGGTCACAGAGTGTGAACATTCAGAAAGGAACCATTGAAGGGGACTGGGGGTTGGGGATCACCCTCAAACCCTCCTGAGAATCAGACTAACACAGGAGCCATTTAACGCCAAACTAATGGGAGTGTTGGGAGTCGGGTGAAGAGGGAAGGGATGGAAGGAGGAGGAGGGTGGAGGATGGGAGACAGGGGTTGGTTGGTAGGACAGTGGGTATGTTGGTCTTGGTGGCGGCTCACCACTGATGCAGAACGGGTTGGGAATTGGGACTGGGGGCGATTATGGTGAAGAGGATATATGGGGAGAGAGGTTTCTGCGGTTAGGTCAGTCATATTAATGTCACTCCAAGCAGTCAGCACAGCGGAGATATAAAGAGACAAGGCAATCCTATTCCTCTGCCAACCCCCACCCGCAAACACAGATATTTCATCTTCACTTGGCTACCCTTTGCAATTATTTCTTGATTTTCTCCGCAACACAGAAATCTTTAGATTGGTTTTGAGGGCAAGATTAGGCTCATCTGCCAATACACCCATCAATACATCTGCTTCTCTTATTACCTTTTTTCACTCTTTCCCTCTCCCTGATGAAGGCTTAGTTAATGAAAGGGAACAGCATTGATGCCCTGGTTCAATAAGGTGATCTTCTGGCTTAGAGACATATTTGAAATGCTAAAACTGTCCTTGTCCTCTCTGGAAATGTCTTAACCTCAGGCCAATTCCCTATTGAAGAAGCAAGGTACTGACCATATTCATACAGTATGCCTTTCAACCCCCCATGTTGTGAGTTAGATTGGCATGGACTTAGAAGTAATATCACTTGAATTGATCACGCTTCAGCAAAGAAGAACCTCTGCCAAAGATGTAGAGGGACACAGTTGATGCTTTCTTTAGAATTATTGACCGGAAGTTAAACGAAAAAACACAAACCATAGGAATTTGATCTCATGGGTATACTGTATATTTGACATTTGCCCCCAATCACTCAAAGTTCCTAGAACCATACTATTCAGATCCCCAAGCTCCATCCAGACCCAAACATGAGGAGGCCAGGCAGGCTGTGGGCACTGAGTAGTCCAGCTAATTAAAGACAAGCAGACCACAGTCCCACGCCCGGAAATGACATGCTTCTAATTACAGATGAGGGTATAGTAAAGGAAAGAAAAGCCGGGTAATTGTAGGTCTTAACTGGCCAAGGAAGCGAAACGATGTGTAGGTAGCAAGATGTCGCTCAATGTAGCAGTGAAGACAACAGTGATGTGGGGGGCAGAAGTTTAGTCTGTGGGTTAAGTGGGCGCTGCTGTCGCCCTACATCAAGAGTTAAAGTATGGCAGGATTGCTAAACCGCTGCATAAGAATAACTGAGCAGCTGAATAAAATAACTTCAGTGGCATTGAGCGACTGGCAGAGAGAACCAAGCCACAAAATGGGTAATCTGATACTTAAGACCAAAGTGGAGTTAATGTAAATATTCTTTGAACTAAAGTTTTTTCTCTAAATCAGCTGGGAGGTATAAGTGGAATATAACGTCAGTGGAATTAAAACAGTTTTTAAAAAGTTTTTCTTATTGACCATATTGACACAGTATCAATTTTCCTCTGATGTAATCTCAGGGAAGGCAGCAGAAATGCTGTTACTCTTTTTGAAGTAATGGTTTGTATGACAAAGGAAGTCGGACCAATCACTTCAATTCATTTCTTCAATGAATGGGAAAAATCTTGAGGGATAAGAAGCTGTTTTTGTTAAAGAGCCATGAACTATGGTCAGGCAAAATGTTGTGTTAGCGTTGAATCACTTTCTAGGAATTATTATTGCTAGCTAGGGGCTGAAACTATTGTTAGCTAGCTAAGTAGATAGGAAGAGGTTGAAGGCAAACATTGGCTGTTGTTGAACAGTAGCTAATGAATTCCATGTTGTTTTATCAAGGAGAAGTCAAGTTAAGAGGATTTGAAACCATACTGTATGTGAATAAAAGTCTTGTAATATTGTGTCTTGTGTAGTAATACACAATATTAAGAAACTGTTCTTCAAAGTAAATCCCATTTCAAAGCTGGACAGTTCATGAGTAGACTCCATCTCTCTGTGGACAGAGGCACAATTCACACTTCCAATGGTCTGAATGTCAGTGAACAATGTGGACTTTGTGGAAGTCATGCCCTGGGCTGTTTTTCTTTCAATGTGCTGTGCTCTCGTTACTAACTTAATCTATGAATTATCGTTTTACACACGTGTTTGACGGTCCACTACACCTCCTCCGGACTTATAAATATGTCAAGTAAAATACTCCATTGATTGATGGAAGAAACGCATAATTGGCCAAGTCACAAGCCGTATTTATTATTTCATCGTAAAATCATTAATGTAAACCACATGAGAATGCAGTAAGTGAGATGAGCTCTATTATGTCAGTTGGGGTGTGCGTACATGTTGGAGTGTGTTTTTTAAGGATCTAACAAATCCCACAAAGGCATTTTTGATCTGGCTCTGCTGTGGTTAGATAATGTTTATACTGTATTTTGTTAATTAAACCTCAACAGTGGACTTCCTCTTCCACTATAGGAATGTAAATATTGTTTGAGACTGTTTTGGACAGAAGTCAAAAAATCAACGTGTTATTTCTTCTCAGCTGGTTGAGTTTGCCGTTAGCAGTGATTTATGTGTAGTAAAGCCTTGAATGGAATGGTAGTCCCTAGAGCAGCATTGCTAATAACCCATGTAAAGGGTCTGGATGGAGACTTGGAATCTGTGCCAAAAGAGAAGGAAAGAGAGGAACTCTCTTGTCAGCAGCCTGTGTGTGATGATAAATACCAAAAGCTGGTCTGCTGCCACATCTAGAAATGTACTTTTTTTGTTTGCTCTGTATCTCTATCTCTGTATTGAAACTTTCTTTGAATTATCTGTATTACTCACTGTCACACAAAGTTGTCCGACAGTTAAAATTCGAGGCTCAGAATATTTTAAGCATGCTACCGATCTCCCAATGGGAGTGACTATTAATCATGATAAATCCTCTGCATGCAGTCCTGCTTCTCTGTTGTTATGTTAGGCCCGTAGAACAGCAGCAAAGCTAAAATCCCCATCGATATCTCCACTGTGCTCTCAGATACACAGCCTGCCTCCTGTTGGGCTGGAGGCCACAGTGCTCAGTGTGTTTTCTCAGCTACTCTGATCAGTTTATTGATAGCGACTCCCCTCTGTGCTGTGAGCTAGCAGAAAGACCACAACAAAGTACCGCGGCCAGATATAAGGCTCACCTCTCCCTCCAGGTCTGCATCTGTGTGATCACAGCAGCATGGGAGAGGTTGGGTTACCACATTAAAGGCTTAGACACACATGAGTGCATGTGTGTAGATGTTTTGGGGGGTGGGTTGTCTATTTGTGGGTGTGTATAGCCTCATGATTGTGTGCATCTAGATGCTGTCACACACGGACGGCGGTGAGCGTCGTCTTCTGGGAGCTTTTGATGTTAGTCTTATCTGCATTTTAAAGGCCAGAAGGGGGAGGAGGGAGGGGCGGGTCATTACTCTGACTGACAGCGTTTATGTTTCCGTGGGAGCCGTTGAAGCAGACAGATTAGATAAGGTGAGTGATTGGCCAGGGGAGATTTATGGCCAAAGAGTGACAGTTAACATTCACCTTGTGGTTTTATGAACCCAGGATTACACAGGGCTGCGTGTGCTCCTCTGGGGTGCTCTAAACCTCATTAAGGGTGCAAAGATGGTCACCTTCACACAACATCTAGACGAAGAGGGAAAAAATAAACAGAGCAAGGATAAAACATCTGTATGGTGCCTTTTATGGTTTTTTGTGTTTTTTCATTTCGTTTTATTTTATCCAGAGGTTTTCCTGTCCTTGAACGTGCCCTTTTTAGAACGTTAAATCAGATGTTTTTTGTGTGTTTTCATTTGTAATGCATTCCTGATCACTCATGGTGCCTATTCTTTGCTTTTTGTAACATGTGCTCCCTTTGGTTTGAGCCAAGGGATCAAATATGACAATTCTTTACACTCACAAATCATAAAAACATGACTCTTTTGAAACCATGGACATCACATTGTTATGTTTCTTATATCTCTCCTCTTTCTCTCATGCTGTTTATTATTTATTTATTCATCTTTGGGTTTTTTGTTGTTGTGTTTTTGTTTCCTTTTTAGTCGTGTCTGGTAAGTTGAAATGTCACCCGTCACCTATTCACCGCCCTGACAGAGACAGGAAGCTGTCACAACCCCCCTCCATCCACCTCCCATCACTACTCCACCCTCCAATCAGAACTCATGTTTCTGTTGTCATGGGCAACAGTGACAAAAAGGACATTAATGGGTAAAAATGTGCTCAGCTTGGGCCCTCCAAGGTAAAGCTGCATCATTTCATTCTATTATTTGCTCCTTTTATGCATTACCACAGCCCGTCTTATTTACGGACAAATTATGTCTGTATTTCAAATGACAGTTTTCAGATTGCTTTTCCCTACACATCACACAGCATCTGTATGGAAGAATTAAAATACCAGCAGATTTATGATTTTTGAGGACATATCTAAAAATCCTTTTGAAGGTGGTCTGCCTCTTGACCTTTACGTTCAAAATGTGTCTCCTCACATTGATGGCCTATTAGACAAGCCAGGTCCAGTTCCACTGTATAGCTGCAAACATGGCATTGGGCTACTACAACACACTTAGTCTGAAATGGAATTTGTCATTAAGATGCATGGATACAGCATCCTGGTTCAGGCCTGTGCTGTTGGAGGGTGTCAGCATGGACAGATGGCTCAAATTTATTCCCCATTTCCATGTAAATTTTAACAGCTCATGCCCTTGCCCATGCAAATGAGGGGGCAGGGTAGTAACCCTTGTTTTTTCTATTCATTACATCTATAATATGCTTGCATTTTGAATTTGATCAACGTTCTGTTTAATCTGCAGTGCACACACCGTGCAAAGTTTGAAAATGAGCCTAAATCCTGTGAATACAGGCACCACAGCTCTAGTCAAAGTTCCCTTGTTGTTTATTCAAATAACCCTAGCTACATCTAACTGTAATATTATGATTCCTATAATAACAAACTATGGCAAGTTTGTCTATTCAATGGCTAACCATTCTCATGGCTGTCCTCCAGTGCCCCCAGCATTTGTGGTGAGACCAAGGAACCAGGTGGTTGGCGTTGGCAGAACTGTCACCTTCCAGTGCGAAGCCACTGGAAACCCACAGCCAGCCATTTTTTGGCAGCAGGAAGGCAGCCAGGTAAACACAGTAAACTTGAAGAAAGGTTTTCATTTCAAAATGCTCTTAATCCATTTGGACAGCATGCTAGCACACTCATCCAAATCTTTGGGGGAAAAAATGGCCAACCTTCCCTTGAAAGGACTTCTACTTTTGAGTGAAATCTTAAACCTTTCCAATAAATGTATTATAGCCATTCTACTGTTTATGAAAGTCTGATTTTTGTCATCTGATTTCATCCCCCACAGAACCTGCTCTTCTCCTACCAGCCTCCTCAGCCCTCCAGCCGGTTGTCTGTATCTCAGACTGGGGACCTGACCATCACTGATGCTGAACGCTCAGACATGGGATACTACAGTTGTCAGGCCCTCAACATAGCAGGCAGTGTCATCACAAAGGCTCTGCTAGAGGTCACTGATGGTAAGCACATTTTTTTAAGACACAGTGTCTGCATGGAGAAAAGCCTCAGGGGGAATTAGAGGAACACTGCAAGGACGCTTGATTGGATAAATGTTGGTATATCAGATAATCTTTGGCTCATGAGGATAATTCTGTTCATCTGAAAGGCTGTGGTCGCGCTGCAGAGCGTATTAATATCAAAATGGATGTTTGGTCTGGACTGTTCAATGTGTTCCTGTCAGAGGTAGAGACTCTCTGGTGCCTGTGCACCCAGACCGTGGCTCAGGATTGGTATTCCATGGCTTGCTTGCTGCTGTCTACCGTTGAAGACTGTGGCTGTGTGGTGAGGTCTGGATTGGGTCCTCTAATTACTCTGCTAGCCAATCCCCCGTCAGCCTGGTGGACCAACCTTGGATTCATTTCTAGCATTCCCACAGAGATTTGGCCGGTTATTATTTCTTCTCCGACACACCTAGATTCATCCCTTCATTTACAAAATGTCCTTCTTCATTTCAGGCCTACAATGGTGTGCTCCATGCCTCTATCCGCTTCTCTCTCTCCGGTTCTGTCATGCTCTCTGGATAATAATAACAGTTATTAAAGTGAGCAGGCTGCTCCGAGGCCACCACTTCTCTGCAGGCAGATCTGGTAATTACAGGTCATGCTGACAATGTTTTAGTAATTGCACCATCTCTTGCACAAAAGCAAAGACAAAGCGTTCCAGAGATTACATTGGTGTGTGCTTCTGAGGATCCATGCACATGTACATACATCATTATGTGTTGCCTTTACTCTTTGATAGCTATTAATGTCATTGCTCCTCACTGAGTGGAAGATGCTAGTAAATCAGTGAGGCAGACAGCAATGGTCATCAATAGTGCTATGAATGATAATAATAATCAGAGGGAGAAAGACAACCTCTAGCGGGAACATGACAGATAACACCACAGTGGTGACAAAATAGAAATGAAGAAATTATTGGGTGAATGTAATTTAAGTCTCTCCTCCCTCTTTGTCTCATTTCCCCCGGTTACGTCCTTTCTCTTTTTGTCAAATCCATGTTTTCTCCCTCTGTCTTTGTTGTTTTTATGTTTACTGGTTGAACACTCAGGGTTCACAGCCATGGAGGGGAAGTACAAACGTCCTCTTGCTAATAACATTGTCTGTTCAGGCTGCATGGCGTTTAAGGCGTTTTTCTCCCATGCTTTGTGTTTTGTGGCTGGGGGGATGGGCTACAGGGGGGGTTTTTGGCTGGGAGTGTGCACATACACGTAGTGCCAGGCGTCTGGTAGAGCTGAAGCGAGAAGACTGAAGTATCTGAGGCTGTTTCATTTTAATTACGCTGCTTGTATTTGGCTAAGTTCGACTCCTGCTGCTGAATGATTCGAAAATTGTTTCCAGTTCTTAGAAATTGGATCTAATTCCTCTTCCACTTGCCTTGCAGTCTCACACGCTTACATTACATTGTCAGATTCCCACCATGTTCAGCCTTTTGCATGTTTTCTCAGATAAGCTGGATATAATTGTCTGAATCCGCTCTTCCTTCATTCCCTTTCAAAACACATGAACACCTACCCAATTTTCCTCTTTCCACCTCCTCCACATAATTGCTGCTTCTCTTTCTTACACAGTTGTGTCCGACCGCCCGCCACCAGTAATCCAGCAGGGCCCTTCCAATCAGACAGTAGCTGTGGACGGCACAGTGGTTCTCAACTGTGTGGCATCAGGAAACCCTGTCCCCACCATCCTGTGGAGGAAGGACGGTGTCTTGGTGTCCACACATGACTCCAGGATCAAACAGCTGGACACTGGTGCATTGCAGATTCGCTATGCCAAGGTAAGACACCTGCATATAAACATGCTCTGGTCCCTTTTGAACACCAAACAAAGTGAAACGTCTCTCTTTGAGTCTGTATTTTCACAATTAAGGTTTAAACTTTCCCTTGCATTCTATGTTTATATAAAAGTATAATTATGTTTTTAATCAATTCCTTTCTGATAGGCTGCCTTTAATGTCTAAATTTATTCAAATATACTTCAAAGCTTTTCCGTAACACATCTGTAATGGGCCGGGCGAACCCCCGCTGGTTGGTAAATAAAGCATATGTTCCCTGCCAGCAGCCATCCCTCAGTGGGCTGTCAGTCAGTTGTCGCGGGTTTGAAACGGAGTCTGTGAAGTCGAAACAGTCTGTAGTTTCTGTCAGTCAGCGAGCACAGTGGGTTCCGTGTGTAATTTTGCGTGTGAGTGTATCTGTGTGTGTGTCTATGTGATGCTGCTCAACAAGCACATGGAGAGACAAGTAGGGGGTGCTGACGTGTCTTCCAGATGGAGGCGTCACGGGGTCAGAGTTCGTGTCAGTTTGCGGTGTGCTGATGAATGCTGGCGTGTCTTGTGGTGACAGGGCTGCGGTGCGATCGGGTTTGCCGGAGCGAGGCAGGCGGGAGGGGATGCGTCTGAACCCCTCTCTCCTGCTGTAATCGTGTAAACTCCGCAGGCACTTTGCATTAATGAACTTGTCAATTCTCCCTGACAACCTTTTAATGAAGATGGTTTTGATGCGGGAGGTAATTTACTTTATTAATGTGGTCGCGTGAGGGTTGTTGTTGCTGGCTTTCGACAAAAATTGCCTCACCTGCCAGACAGAAGAAGAAATGCACCTTGAGTGTTACTCATAGAACATGTTCACACTCACTTCATTCAGCGAACTCTTTCTGTGTGTGTCTCTCCTCAGTTTCGCTTACACAATGCCACAGAATTATTTGTCTGTTTCACTTTAACCGTAGTTGACAGAGCAGACATTTTTCAAATTGCAGCAGTGAGAACATATTCCTTTTTGAATTTGGCCAAAAGCTTGTGTTTTGTGTTGGTTTATTATTCCATTAGCAAGCTGAATATCTCAAAAACCTGACAACTGTTTTTAATCGGATTTGGAAACAAAAAAATGTAAGCCATGAGCCAATTAAAGCCATGAGCCAGGAAAGAAATCATTTGTTTTGAGCCTGATCCAAAATCAAGGTGTCGATCAAAGTATTCTATTAAAGGAAGGGCTTTCTCCCAGCTCTTTTTGCTCATGGGCTACTGCACAGGGAAAATGTGGCACATTAACTGATCTCTTTCTGTGTGTATTTTCTAAGCAGATGTAAATCATTTGCTGATTTCATTTCCATCAAAAACAAAAAAACACAGAGAGATATTAGTTCTCCAACGACTTTCTGTAGTCGTTTGGTTCCTGAATTAGTGCAACTATCTTAAAATTCACTACTCCTACCATACAACGGTACTTACTAGCATATGAATAATCGAGGTTTGAGCATACATGTTCAATACAGGTTGCTACCACATCTGTTGCACAGAGCACTCACTACCATGTCTCCTTCTGCTCAGGGGGAGGGCAGAGAGAAAGGTCTCCAATTAGTCTGTGATCCTGTGAAAATCTTCCTCCATTTGACTAGGAATGCTCTGCCACTTGGCCTTTCCAGCTGCTTTTCCCCGGTTTCTGCTATGAAAGCAATGATATTGAGATTATCAGGCAATGACAGCTGCTTGCTACAGACTCCACTAGAATTTCAATAAGCAGAGCAGTGATGGTGGGGGAGAGATAACGAGAGGCATAAAAAATGGAGTAAGACTACTACCGGTTCCAGTCACTGTGGAGAGTATTTGAATAATTTCAATTTAACCAAATGTTCTCCACTCTACACTTCCAGCTTGGTGACACTGGCACCTACACCTGCATCGCCTCCACGCCCAGCGGAGAGGCCTCATGGAAAGCCTTCTTGGAGGTCCATGGTAAGCTAACATCATTGCAATGTTTCGAGTCCATGAATAAATCAATCAACCAATCTTTATTTGTATAGCACCAATTCACACCAAGTGTTATCCTCAAGACAAAGCTGGGAAAAACCTTCCTTTTTAATGTTTTATTTACATCATTGGGGGTGTCTCATATTGCATGTGTAATGCTTCATGAAAGAATAGGTTTAACAATAAGGGTAGTAATGAAGTTTGTTTACAAGGCCTTACCAGAAACGTTATCCTTCTGTTTCTTTTTTTTTCCGTTTTATTATCAGAGTTTGGAGTCCAAGTCCAGCCAAACAGACCCACTGACCCAAACCTGATCCCCAGTGCTCCTTCCAAACCTGAGGTCACTGATGTCACCCGCACCTCCGTCACCCTCTCCTGGAAACCCAACCTGAATGCTGGAGCCACACCCACCTCCTATATTGTAGAAGCCTTCAGGTAAAATGAATTAGCTTAGATGATAAATGAATAAAATAATCACATTGCCTTCATAAAAATAAACAAAAAACCTTTTAATTCTCTCCGTTGTGTGTCCTCAGTCATGCATCAGGGAGCAGCTGGCAGACCTTGGCAGAGCATGTGAAAACAGAGTCATTTGTACTAAAGGGCTTGAAGCCCAGCGCAGTCTACCTCTTCTTAGTACGGGCAGCCAACGCCTACGGGCTGAGTGATCCCAGTCCTATCACTGAAGCTGTGAAAACACAAGGTGAGGACATACTCTTTACTGACAGTATTGTTTTTTGTATTTTTAGAGAAGATCTTCAATTCTTCTTGTCTGTGCTTCTGCCTGCAGATATCCCTCCAACTAGTCAGGGCGTGGATCATCGTCAGATACAAAGGGAGTTGGGAGAAGTGGTTATCCACCTGCACAACCCCACCATTCTCTCCTCGTCATCTGTCAGGGTGCAGTGGACAGTAAGTATTATTTCTCTTTTAAATTATATTTTTCATCGGTTTGTTTTCAAACAGCTACCGTGTCACATATGAATCACTCGTCATTTTGGTTACCAGATCGGCGAAGGTTAGCTTAGCGATACGCCCACGGTCAATTTGTCAGGCCACTCAGTCGAGCTAATGTGCTACCGTCCTAGCACCCTACAGAGGAAGGACACCGCTGTAAGCTGCCTGGAACACAGTCCAAGTCCTCTTAGTGTCCATCTGGCATGAGCCTGAACTGGTCGACTGGCCAGAGACCAAAAATCTGCTGCTTCGCCCACAGTGGACCACTCATCCGCCCGAAATTCAAGACTACAGCTCCCAGCATTCTGCAGGCCAAGTAGTACCATACAGCAGTGTGTGGCGTGCCAGCCTGTGCCCTCTCAGATTGAAAACACTTGCTGGCTGTTAAAATAATACAAGTGAGAAGGAAGAGGCGGCCAACTCATGCTCTTAAGTGGAAATGACTTACAGATGTTAGAGCGGATAGGTGGGAGAAGGACAAGTACAACTGGAAGCTTATAGTGCTCTTTCTTTGCTGGTAAAAACTGAACATGAAGCTCAAATATTGCCCCACAATAAATCTGGTTATTGTTTTTCTTCAGCTTATTAGACAATACAACCCATGTTCATGGGTTCCCACTTTTCATAGTAGATATTTGTCTTAGGAATGGCTAAGAAAAGTCCCAAGTTTTGCCTTTTGACACACGGCCACCATTACATTCCCAGGTATTATGAAGTGCCAGAATGAGTGATGAATGGGTCTGAGGAAATGTGAAAAGGATACTGACATGTCAAGACTGATTTAAAAACATTACTGCCCAGTTACTCTGTCTCCTTGGAATGTGCCAGAAAAAAAAAAACACACGACAAGAGAGGGACTGACATTCTAGTTTCCTTGTTCTTTGGGCTTTAAATCTATTCCCAGTGTGGAGTTTCTTGGTTTTACATTTTCCTTTGTGTCGTGGTAAATGGTTGCACACTTTTCAGGCTAATGAAGACCACCTGAGCCGGCAGCGTGTTTTACAGGCGAGGGATAAAGAAATCACTAAAATCTTTACAAGCCAGGGCTGCTTGCCTTCCACAGGGACTCGTAGGGGTATTAGCATACGGGTTTAGCGGTTATTCTTCCCTCAAACCATGCTGAAGCTCAATGCAACTTTAACCAATCCTATCCTCTCCATTTTTCTGTATCAGATGCCCTGTAACTTGTTGTATTCTAGACTTATGGTACCCTGAATAAAGATCAACTTCCCCCCTCTCCCCAGTCAGTACGCTGGAGAGCAGGACAGGATGAGACAGGCTGCTCTGGGAGTCTGGGCCCTATTTAACCAGCTCCAGACTTAGAGGAACCTCTGGCCAATGACCTCATACTGTGGTTTGCACAAATCGCTGCTGCTCCAAATGGCGCATAGAAAGCCAGAGATGTAGATGTGGATGGTTAAACCGAGAGGTGATGTGATGAGTTAGCACCCCATTCCATCCAGCTCCTGATGTACCAGTTTCATGAATCCACATCACTATGTTATTTTTCACTGTACAGCAGCTAATCAAGTCAAGCTGACTCCATCATTGTTCTATTTTCTTTATTTAGGCAGAGCAGCAGTCGCAGTACATCCAGGGCTACAAGGTGATGTACAGGCCTTCTCCGGAGGGGCTGCAGAGGAGCGAGTGGGCCGTGTTTGAGGTCCGCACCCCTGGGGAGGACAGCGCTGTCGTGCCACAGCTTCGCAAGGGAGTCACATATGAATTCAAAGTCCGCCCCTTCTTCAATGAATTCCAGGGAACAGACAGCGATGTCAAAATTGGCAAGACGCTGGAGGAAGGTGGGGGATGTGACTGTGTGCGAGTTTGCTTTGGTGCCTGCATGTGTGCATGCATGTTTTCATGTTTACACAGTTTTATATGCACAGCTTGCATGTGTGAGAGCATACAACAGCTGTTCACAGCAGGCAGGGAGAGCAGGATTATGTTCTGTTCAAATGTGGTGCATTCGAGCATGCTGGGGTGGATGTTCGGCTCTTTAAAAGGCCCGATGGATACAACACTCCGGTGCAAGTGTTAAACTGATTTCTCTAAGGGCGTGGTTGTGGCATTCTCGTGAGGTTTGGTTGAAACCCAACTGCAAATTTTAATTTGTAGCGAACAGTGAAGAGAAATGTGAGAGCAGAGTGTTTACTGCAGAGAGTGTGTGTATGTGTATGCGTGTGTTTGTGTGTGTGTGTGTCTGTGTGTGTGTGTGTGGGAGTGTTTTGATATTTTTCAGCTAGATCCTTCTCTGTTCCCAATTTTGTTGATAATTGTTTTTGGAGCATTACCATCATGTTGTTCTCCCATAAACCGAGAAAAAGGCCTATTTTTATAACACTTGCTCACACTGTGATTAAGTCTTTTATGTTGGCATCATAATTATTTTAGTTTAATTACCAATGGACCACAGGTTTGCTTTCATACCCTACCGTCCACACTCCGCTATCATAACTTCCCGACTGTTTTTGGGTAAACACTTACTTGCTTTTATTTATTGACAAAAGCGCTTGTATTAAGCAAACACAGTTTTCAGATGAAAGCGTGCTAATTTTGATGATTAGTCCTTTGTTCTGCGCTCAGCCTCGGTCTCATGCAGAGATAAAGGACCGTTTCTGACAGCTGAATGTGATGAGAGGAGACAGGGAGAGACTACATGCAGTCAGAAAAAAAAATATCACATATGAAGGTGTGTTCTTTTTTTTCCCCCCATCTTTTGTCTACACCCCAGCCCCCAGCGCCCCTCCCCGCGAGGTTACAGTGACAGAGAGCGGGGACAATGGGACCGCCGTCCTGGTCTCCTGGCAACCTCCTCCAGAAGAGGAGCAGAATGGGGTGGTCCAGGAGTACAAGGTAACACAAAAAGCAAAACATTCAGCCTCCTGCTCGGGTTTGAGCGATTAGGACTTATTATTATAGAGACACAAAAGGAGACCCAAACAGGGATGCAGATAACACAGGACCAGACAATGCACAGACATGGAAAGGTAATGAATTCCTGGTTGAGGCACACCTTTGTATGCTCATCCTCTGAGTAATGACAGAGACTCAGACACAAGGGAGGAAAGGAAGCAAAGCATGGGAAATGGTCAAAAACTGTTGGGAAATGGTGCCATCTGGTGGACATAGTAGAATCATGCATCTTATGGCTCTATGAAGGTGAATGAAAGTAGTGTGGAGCAATTTCTGTGGTGATTATTAAAAAAAAGTCTCTTAGTAGTGAGATGGTGATTTATGATAATTGTGTGTTAAGTCGAGGTAAATGTTTGACCTCTCATAGCAAGTGGGGCCGGCTTTTATTTGTTGTTTGATCACAAATAAACATTCAAAGGATTAAATATTTAAAGCCACATCAATCTTAACTATAGTGGAGTTTTATGTTTAAGTAGAGACATCCATATAAAGGCGTGTAATAGTGTGTTTAATGGCGCGAAGAACAACAAGCTATTATAATAATGACCAAGGACAAACCAATGAAGAGACAGACCTCTATTGTAATTCCAGTCATTTCCCTTCTCTGAGCCCCTGCTAATACATCCTTCAACCTACAGCACCTCTCTCCTAGCTTCCTTCTCCTCCTCCTCCTTACTTTGATAATGTATTCTCTTTTTGTAATGGCCTCACTCTGGACAGTCTTGTGCTCTCATACATTATGCTGTGGAAGTCCTGTATTTTAATTGGAAAGCCTCTTTTTTTTTTTTTTTTTTGTTACAGGGTATATACTGTAGGTTATAGCAGCAGTAGGGGGAGATGAGGCAGAGCATGGGAAAAAAGTTAAGCTACACTGTTAATTTTCCAGGTAAATGTTTTCAGATGATAGGTTTATAGTAATTTCATGCTTTTTAAGTCCAGCTCGAGAGCGCTCCCTGCTCATTACCGAGCCCCCTCCCCAGCAGCTCTTACACTAGCAGACATTTCTCGAGATACGCAGAAAATGTCAGGACTTTGTAGCTCCATGATAGAAGTGCAAATATGGCACATGTACACATGCTCAGCACACGCACCAGGAAGTGTGTATGCTAACCTTGTTAACTATTTGGAGGAGGTTGGGGGGGGGTAAAGAAAGCAGAGTGTCAGGGCTTGGGGATGTGGAGGTCTGCAGGCCTCATGCTGAGGTGAATGTATACGTCTCTTTGTGACCCTGGTTTGAGTCAGACTGCTCTGCTTCCTGGGAGTGACAGCACTTAGCTTCAGCTCAAATTGGGTTATGGAGGCGATTACTGATCCCCATTTGTTTTTCCTGGGCTTAAGGCCACACCGAGCTGTGTTATGGCTACCTCGCCTAATACTGACCCTGTGTTGAGCAGAGCCTGTAAAACATAAAGGCATGCTGTAAAATGTTTTCCTACCTCAGAGATGTAACATAATACCCGCAGCGTGCTGAAACGTAGCAATAGCAGCGCAAACCAATTATAAAGACACAGATTGGTGGCAGCTACCAAGCTGAATGTTGTCACGAAACTCTCATAACATCGCCTCCATCTCCACTTTCTCCTTGTCTCTGTTATGGCAGATTTGGTGTTTGGGGAACGAGAGCAGGTACCACATCAACCGCACAGTTGACGGCTCAACCTTATCCGTGCTGATTCCCAGTCTAGCCGCTGGGATTCGATACAGCGTGGAGGTAGCAGCCAGCACCGGGGCAGGTCCTGGGGTCAAGAGCGACATCACCTTCTTCCAGCTTGGTGAGTAGAAACAGCCTTTATTTCCCTCTCACAGGAGGTCATGTCATCATGTTGTTTCTCCTCTAGAGGATCTTTTTTGTTGTTGTTTCTGTTTGTCCTCTGGCGATCGTCACATGCCGAACGATACACAATCATCTGACAAATTATTATGGCATCAATCCAGTCATTTCAAATAAAGGAACGTTCTGCCGAGTCATCAGATGGTTATGTAATTCCTATCTCATAGTGTCAGACATGTTCAAGCAGCTACCTGCCTTGTCTTTCATTTCCAACAGCTTTGCTTAAAAACTGTAATTAAAGTGATTACTGTTTAACAATCATCATCTTTGACACGGAAGCATGTGATGAGTTTGAGTGACAGAGAACTTAAGCAGTTTTGTGCACATTGACGTGGGGTTTTTTCTGCAACAAGGACACAATAAATTCCTGTGTGGCAGAGCAGTTTAGCTTGTGCCCCACCCTGCTCTTCTCTCCAGTCAAGGATGCAGTGTTCTCTGCTTCTGCCTCGCTTCAAACAACAAAGGCAATAATGAATCCTGCAGTCTGGGTGCAGACATGACATGTTATTAATGCTAAGAAACAAGCTGCAAATTTCACTGGGGCAATTTCTCTCTCACGCATCTCTTGTTTTCTCGCATTCTCGTCATTTGTGAGATGTTTTGTCAGCTTTTATTCCCTAAAGCGGTGGGCTCAGGAGACGGATGGAAGACATGTGAATATCAGTATGAGGCAGAAAGAGAGGGAGGAAAAGATGTCCGTCTGGTTTTAAATGTGTGATTGAGTGGGCTGGGATGGGCATGAAGAAGCATCGGCTGTGACTGATACAATTTCTCTCCCTTGAAGAGTTCCTGTGGTGATTGTTGCCATGTTCCAACACTGGAGTGGAACAATGTGCCTTAGGGACCAGCTCTCCACCCAAATGCATTTGTCACACTTGGAGCTTGTATGCGTCATCCCAGCCTGGATACCTGTACAGTCCCTTGTGGGCTGCTTAGTCACATTGGCATGCTGGGTACACTCGGCCAGACTGAGGCACAAATTGAGAGAACTGAGAAGTGAGAAGAGATGCAGTCGGATGGAGACACAGGCAGAGTGACTGAGACAAAGCCAGGCGGAGGGATGTGGAGGAGTACATGTGGAGGGGCTGGTTTCATTGGGGGGGGGGGGGGGGGGGGGGAAGTGTTTTTTGCCTCTGGCTGTGAAAGTTGGTTGAGATGAGCGGCTGCAGCATGAAAGACTCGAGAAAATGAGATGAAGACAAAGTAACACGAACATGAAGAAATTTCGGAATGGCGGAGGGGGGTGGGGCACAAAGAAGTCTTTCATGTCTCACGCATGAGGGAGAAGCACAGAGAGAATAGACAGATGAGAAAAACAGACGAGATCTGCTTGTTGTGAGCAGGCAGAGCCTTTACGCCGCGATTCACAGCAGAAACAGCTTCGAGGCGTTCACACCTCGGTTTTCCACAGATGTGCCTGAGTTTGCTAATTACAGTGGTGTCTGTGTTTGAGGATGATCTCATTGGATTTATTTATATGATTATGAAAGCGGCATTGCTCTGCGTAAATGAGGCCTCTCTCTGTGGTTTCCTATCCAGTTGGATCGGGCTCGTGTGGTTCACACAGGCGGAGTCTGAATGTCTTCGGTTGCTTTCTTCTGCTCACCTGCCGTTGTTGTCAGGGATTTGTGATGAAAGCCTTTTGAATAATAGAGAGAAATGACTCCATTTTCACATCCTAGCCTGATACACACCTGCTGAGATGAAGAATCCTTTTGTGTGTCAGGTGAAAGAGGAATGTTCTTATGTATGTGTAATGCTGACTTTATTTTTAAAAATATATATCCTCCTTATTCCAAGCGTTTCCACAAGATTTCAGTTTGAGGTTTAAGATAATTTCCTCTTCTATTCCCCCACATTTTTGTTTGTAACACCAGCTATGTTCTCTTCAAATTTGCACCACCAAACATACGTCTAATCCTGCTCTCTTGTCTCCTCCGTCCTTACCTTCAGATGCATCCGGGCGCATGACAGAGAGCGTGATCCACGAGAACCCTCTGTCCCAGCAGATCTCCGATGTGGTCAAGCAGCCAGCTTTCATAGCAGGCATCGGAGCTGCCTGCTGGATCATCCTCATGGTGTTCAGCATCTGGTTGTATAGACACCGAAAGAAAAGGAACGGCCTCTCCAGCAGCTATGCAGGCATCCGCAAAGGTCAGTAAATGTGGCCAACAATTCCCATTTAACAGGAATATCCACTTGAGTTTATTTTTTGCAAAGCTGGTCTTGGGTTGGAGAAAGTTTCTCACTTACAAAATTTGGTAACAAAATGCAATGCAATATTTATTACTGTTGTCCTGTATTTATTTTGGTTCAAAGCCAGTCCCCTCTTTCTTCTTCTTCTGCTTCTTTTTCTTTTGAATTCTGCCACCCTCGCTCAGATCCTTCCTGACACTCACAGAAAGACGTCTTTGTAGAGCGCTCTAGGTGAAGTCTAAGTGAAAGTATACTCTCCAGTCGAGTACTTTAAGATGTGATGTGAGCCCCCGCTGAGAGTGCCGCATGAAGACGTCTTTTATTTCTCTTTCATACTTCTGTCACGCTGATTCTGCAGGCGTGTGTGAAGAGTGTTTTCAGTAAAGTACATTCAGAGGTCCAACAGCTCCCCCCTTTTAGCAACTCCCTTTTGACTGTGCTGGGAAAGAGAGAGTGGCTCGCTATAATCCTGCTTTATCAAGGACATACTGACATTTTCACATGCTAGAAGTACTTTTTTTTTCTTTGCAGAGAGGGGCCTTTTAATATGCAGGAGTTGAGCATTTTGCATTCCTCTTAATAGCATTTACTTCCCTTGTGTTTTTCAAATAGAAGAATCAATTCCCATGGCTGTTTCAACCCTCTTAGAGTAGCCATGGCATAACGCAGTGTATTTTCTACCTGACTTGAGTCGAAGCGACAGGGTTCACGACATGCCCAACCTCTGCTCGCAATAGTTACAGTATAAGGAGAGCTATTAGCCTTTCTTTCTGAGCCTCATTTATGTGTGGGCTGCCTTAATGTGTGGCCTTGGGCTGTGCAGCTGCTGCCTGTGAGGACTACCTGCGTCGACCCCACTGCTGGGCTCAGGTTCTGACTGCCGGGGTTAGAGGAGATCCTCCCTTCAACCTGGAGATACACACAGACAATAGACTGACTTACCTGTGGCTTATCTATGGCTGTCATATAGAAAACTTGTTCTGAGCCACTGCAGCGATGCTACTGGTGGGAGTTGTACATCTCATGAAAATGAGAGACATCAGCTAAGCTTTCCCTTAAGCTCTGTGGTTTTTAACGGCTTTTACACATACCTTTACGTCATCTATACTGGTAAGAAATGTTTCTTTTCACAGGGTTTACATAATCTTACACACACCCACACAATGACCAGTCTGACATTTAAAAATGTCTGTTGATTTGATTTAAGTCTCTATGAGGACATACCTTTTATTGGTTTGCTGATTTTGTCCCGTACACGTAAACGTTTTTAACATAAAATGATCCTGCTTATTTTTTACCAGTCAAATGTATCCCTCTTTTAGAATATTTGCCCTGGAAAATATAATAGAGGCTGTTTTGGGCATCACTTCATCTGACACCTTTCCAGCTGCAGTTATTCAGGCATTAAAAAGACCTACATAGAAATAAACAATATTGGTGCTGAAGGTCATATAGAGGCATCAATATTAATTTAAGTATGTCTCATAGCCAGCTAAACACTGTTCACAGGAGCTTTAACTCTTAAATGCTAACAAGTTGTTCCAGGCCTTGCAGTTAGTTTTCCCTAGGAAAGAAAGTTTGTGAAATCTGTGAGGTTTTCATCCAATAACATTCTTTAACTAAAGTAATTATAAAATGGTTTATTTGGAAAGAATATTCAAGTATAGAACAGTAGTTTAAAAAACTTTATGACTGTAGCAAGGATCTATGGCCAGGCGAAGGAGGGAAAAAATAGCCGTCTGAGGTTCCCTGTGACTTTCTGGGATTCTATATGTTGATGTTTACTCACATGAACTCACAAAGCTCCTCCTGGGCACAGTAGGCAGACATGCTCCCCCCTTCTTCTCCAAGTGCACACAGACCACAAGAGGCCTCAGTCTTTGTTGGAACTGGTAACTAAGAATGTTTTGAAAGGAGTATAATTGCAACCACATGAAGCAACAATCTGCACTTGAAGTGAAATAGGCTGAATAGAGACTTTTGTATGTGTCTGTTTTCTGGTGTTACCTCCAAAACTGCAAACTCCAACAAGGATGATTCAAAGCCTTTTCTTACTTTTTGCCAGTGCATGAATTAATGAAGAAGTGTGCTTGTAGTCAATGAAATGGCAACACTGCAATATTGTGCAGTTCACATCCAACAGGTTTCCAACAAAATATCTTGCAAGTGCAATAATCAAAATAAAAGTCTGAGATTTCTGCAATCAAAAAAATTATAAGGATTCCTAGCTTCACCTATCTGGGTATCAAACATGAGTGAATTGTGTCAGAATAGAAACCTGATTTATGTATTTAAATTACATTTGCATTTGTCACAGGCTGGTTTGCTTATCAAGTGTTAGTCTCCCTCTTGTTCAAAGACATTCATCAAACAGATAAAGCCATCAAAGTGCTCCTATCTTTAGATTTGTTTGTGCTCCAAGAGGACAGATTCAAACATGATAAGACAGCTGAGGCATTCAGAGGACACTTTTTGGCACATTTTTTTCATTTCCTCAAACACAAGTGTTTGAGGAAATGAAATCTTGACATCAGCTGTGTATCATCTTCTCAGATGCTTAAACTCAAGGTTGAAATAAGAATGCAACGTTTTCTAAAATGCACATATTTAAGGCAGTGCACTGGATGACTTTCAGCTTGATGGGAGTGTTGCATCAACTTTCATGCATAGTGCAGCATTCCTCAGGTCTTCAAAGAGGGCAACAACAAACAGAATGTATTTCATAGAAGATACCGTACTGCCCAGCCTACACCAGCCCTCATTCCAGAATCTAAATCTGCCTGCACAAGCTTTATGTTTTACACTAGGGCTCCTTCAATGCCAAAATGTGTGTTATTGAGCTGTGTGGGTGATGATGTGAGTGTTAGATATAGCAACAAATTTCTCCACGGTGGGTGATTCCAGCTCAGCTGGGCCTCTGACATTCTGAATTTGAACCAGCAGCAACACTCACTGTCCCTCGGTTGGGATCCAACAATGCCTGTAGGGGACAGCGAGTAGTGTGTGAATACAGCCATCCTTAAAACAGAAACTATGTGGGGATAAAGAACATAAATCATGGGGCAGGAAGTAAATTCTGATATACCATCATTCTAATGTAATTTTCTTTATTTTTCTCTGTTCAAACAGTGCCATCCTTTACATTCACACCTACAGGTAAGACTTCATATTCTATTCACAACATTTGTATTCATGTCCATCCACTGTACAGCACATACACACCAGCTTCTCCCCTACACTTGTGAAACACTTCCTTTAAAAGACAGAAGAACGTGATGACAGCTACTGACTGTGAAGTCAGTCAGGGACACTCAATGTGTACCAATAAAAGCAGCCCATCATTGACACAGTCTGACGATCTACCAAGAAATAAGTGTTCCACCGAATGTTTGGGTCATGTCAGAACGTAATGATGAAGGAGAAGTGATGCCACACTACTGAGGAGCAGTTAAAACTAGTGGTAACTTGATCAAAGGGCTGCTGGCAACCCAAGATGGGATTTAAGATGATGACACATCACCAGCACTCCAACACGCCAATTAGATAGGCAAGCGGCAGCCGAGCTAAGGAGGTTATCTGCCAATTGAAGTGACACAGTGTAAAGTAGATAAAAGCAAAGCTCTCTCTGTGAGTCTCTATCTCTCTCACTGTGAGAGTTTGTATTGCCAGTCCTCTCCTTTTTCTTCACATGTTTGAATTGGTTCTTTGTTCCCCAGAGGTGTGTCAGGGGTGCTGGCACAGGTTAATGAAATTGCAAATTTGAAAAAGTGAAAAGGTGAGAGGAAGTAAAAATAAAAAGAAAGAAAACTACAGTTTGTTTGTGGTTTCACTGGCAGTTCGTGTCTGTGCAGAGGTCTTTTCAAAACAGTAGCAGCGTTGTTTCTTATGGCCTTGAGGCTTTCAATCAGGTAGAATAATTTATGAAGTCGCAAAAGTGTTTTAAGATCCGTTGGCAATCTTTCAGGTGACGCACATCTTTTGTATGTGAGGTTAGCTCTAAGTCTCTTTAAAGAAGTAAATCTTTGCCCTGGTTCCTGGTGTAAAAGCAGGATGTTGCAGTGCATTGTGTCAATTTGTATCTATAACCACATTGTGACATTTTGGTTTACATTAAAGAGAGCTAATCTAAGAGCTCCTCAGGCAGCATGCAGAGGCCAAAAGCACACTTCCTGTTTTGAAAAGAGAGACAAGGAATAGACACAGCTCAGGCCCTACCTTCCCCTCTCCTCTCAGAGAAGAGATTGTAATTAAAGTTGGAAGTTTATCTCTCCTTCACACACCGGCAGCTTAGAGCTCCATGAAAGAGTCCAACTTGCAGCGCGAGGAGCTTCAAACACGCTGAACCTGAGCCAGGAAACCAAAGAGCTCTGCATCTCTGTTCTTCATAAGCCTCTTACACATCCTCCTCCTGCTCCTGTTGCTGTCTGCTCTGTGTGTGTGTGTGTGTGTGTGTGTGTGTGTGTGTGTGTGTGTGTGTGTGTGTGTGTGTGTGTGTGTGTGTGTGTGTGTGTGTGTGTGTGTGTGTGTGTGTGTGTGTGTGTGTGTGTGTGTGTGTGTGTGTGTGTGTGTGTGTGTGTGTGTGTGTGTGTGTGTGTGTGTGTGTGTGTGTGTGTGTGTGTGCAAGCCCAAAAATTGTGCCACACACATTCATTCATCCTGGCTAAAAGTAGTATTGAAATCAAAGCTTAACAAACTGTGAATCCAGAATCAAATCAATCATTTGGTGTTAAATCGTTGAAATCATGTTTTAAAAATGTTTCTTTTTTCTTTTCAGTGGCGTATCAGAGAGGTGGAGAAGGTGTTAGCAGTGCTGGAAGGTAAGAGAAGAATTAATTGTTTTTATAAGATCATTTTGATGATTTGTATCTCTCTGTACATACTAATATATTCAAACAAAATCACATGTGAGGATAGTAATGATTAAAATATTATAACTAACAAAACAGCCTGACTAGGGTTGGGCACATGCACTTCCCCTCAACAAACACCAGGGGGAGTGCTGTGACTTTTTTTTAAAGCAGCACAGAGCTAAGGAGGGGTAAGGAGTTGTATTTGGTTTGTCAGAACATGAACAAAGCCCCATGTAGTCTACCAGGAGCCCATCCTTCCCCTATATGATGGAAAACCACATCCGACCACAAGGCTGTGCCATAGCATCACCTTAAAAACAGGCATGGGGACATGTGCACACACAGAGGGAGGCAGAGACACACCTCTTTATGCTGTGGAATGGTGCATTGTGCACAAACACTGACACTGTACATAATCAGTCAGTAAACACTGCATCGATGTGCTAACACTAATTTGTAGATTTACTGGATGGGTTGTGTGCATGTTTTCATACAGGTATGAAAGGTGAACATTGAGTGTGCAGACAAAAAAGAAAACATGCAATTGTTTGTTTCCCTCTTCAAAATGTTCGTTTTTGTGCTGTTCATGTGTTAATGAATAGTTAGCTTGAAACCATCAGCAGGAAATCCATATTCATTACACTATGATTGAATCCCATATGCAGCAAGGCTGTGTCAGCACTGCACAAAGACAATGGTGATTCAATATCCACATTCAACTGCATGCCGGGTGATTGAGGAGCTATTGTGAGATTGTATTTGGCTGTTTCTAGACAAATGTGTTCATTACCAAAAAAATGAATCCAAGAAAAGAGCCATTTGAGAGGGAACGAGGAAACGTAATTCATCGATAATTCAGTGTTGGGACATGCAAACTGGGAGTCGTACTGTTGAGATTTGAATAGTGAAACATTGTTTGGCCGTGCTCTTTCTCCGAATAGTGGATTGAATTATTTCATGAGCAATAGGAGGCTATTTATTCTCCGCTCCTTTAACTCCCAGTGGTTGGCCTGAGGTCAGGTTGCACAGTAGTTCCCTGTTGAACAAGTGATCCTGTATTTGTTTTTCGGATTAAAGCTGCAGAAATAGGAGCAAGACATGGAAACAATAGAGATGGATTGCCAGACGACGATTGGTCCAAAAGTACAACAGTTCCACTTCTTAACTTCTGTACAGCGAAAAAAGAAAAACTTTTTAAATGATAGAGATGTTGTGTGACACCATGGGATCTACTTGGGGAGCGTTCATGGTTCACTGGCTGTTCATGACGCATATTTCGTAACATTGGGAGTGAATTTTATCTGGCTGTCTAATCCATGTGGATTGTTAATGCTCATGAGGGCTCGGGGAAAGTGTCATCGGCTGAGGGCAAGTCAAGCACACACAATTTATTTAGCTGGGCTTTTCTCTAATGTGCTCCCTGGGCCTGTGTTTGTGTGGTGTGTGATGGTGTGTGTGTGATGTGTTTATGTGTATGTGTATGAATGTCTGTGTTTGGCCAAAAGGCAAGAAGAAGTAAAGCCGGATTTCTATTTTTCCTATTCTTAGCTGCTGGATAAATAAACACCACATAATCTTCTCTTTCAAATATTATGTTCTGCGGGTCTTTCAGTTCATTCACATAAATGTCATTGTGGCTTTGGCTTAGTCTCTTACTATTGTTAAACATTTAGTCCAATTTTTTTCTTCTTCCTTCAGGCCTGGTTTGCTGAACATCGGGGAATCAGCCACACAGCCTTGGTTAGCTGACACATGGCCCAACTCCTGCTCCAACCACAACGATTGCAGCATCAACTGCTGCACTGCAGGCAACGGCAACAGCGACAGCAACCTGGCAACATACAGCCGACCAGGTACTGTACTGTTTGTAGTGTCAACTCTTTAATACACAGGAAACTACCAAAATAAACACTCCCCTCAAACCCGACAATGCAGTCCTTGACAAAATAACTATAGAGATAAGAAATGTAGGAGCTGGGGGAATCCGCAGTGAAAAAGGAAGTCAAATCTGATATCTGGGTTAGCTCCCTGGAGAGTTGTTCTGTGTAGCTCTCCTTTCTGCAGGTCTCCACCAGAAAAACCTGAAGAAATATTAGGATTAAGAGCGGCTGTGTGCTTGTGTGTTTGATTTATCGCAGGTTAAAGTAGAGCTGTTTTAGGAAGGAAATAAAAGGAGCACACTGAGAGGGGCTTATGGCTCTACTCGGTTGCTAATCGAATTGCTCTGCTGATTTCCATACTGTTGTTATAGCCGGTAATGTAATTTCCCCTAAGTGCTCAGTTATTTAAGAAATGTGCAGCGGGCGAAGAGGTCAAGGCTGGACTGCAGACGGTGGCCAGAAGCAGAAGAAGAGAGAGCGATAGAGGGAGGAAGGTGCACCTGGAAGAGCAGATGGGAGGGAGGATGACGGAGGGATGAGGAATAAGTGTATGCGAAAACATACACTGAAATGTTGGAGAGGAGAGAGAGAGAGAGAGAGTGGGTGAAGCAGAGTAGAAAGGGAAGTAAAAGCAAAGACACTTATAGAACAGCAGGTGGCCTTTTTGTTTTTCAGCGTTACTGGAGTTCGAAACAAACAGGAGCTAACTCTGCCTCAAATGTTATCCACTAAGACTACACAATATATACTTTACTTACACACATGCACTTTGCCCTATTTGAAAAGAGAACAAAGTAAAACTTCGGGCAAAAAACTTCAGCTTGGATGACACAGGACTTAACGTTATTAATGTTCAGCTCTGACCTAACCCTTTCCTCAGAAACTTGGACTGCAATGAAATGCTTTATGTTCTAAATTATGCACTTTGGGACTCCTTCTTTAAGGGCAGCCCATAATTCCTACGCAGCTGTTTGGCCTAATATCCATCCTGCCCCGCAATAGTTCCTCATTACTTCAAACCTTTCGCAGGGAAGATTAATAATTCATTTTGTAGACTTTATGGTCATCAGGTTGAGTTTTTTCTCTCTGTGCTAATCACCCTTCTTCTGAGGTTGAAGTGTTTAACTCTACCTTAACATGATGTGAGATGTTGAACAGGGAATAAGGCAGCCCTCACTCTTCGCATGACGCCCCGCTGTATGACACTAAGGAGCTTGCCAGACGCATGCTTTGTGTGTGTGCCAAACCTAAACTCTGTGAGCATTAAGAGGATCACTGACGAGGTGACAGAGCAAAGAAATAGGAGTTAATGTCCCTTTATCTGAGCCATAGGGGCGCTTTCAGACGTCAACCTTTGAAGTGTCGAGCTGATCGAGCTGTGCAGCTGAAATGTGAGCCACGCGGCACGAGCAGCACGCACCTATGGCCGTCCTTGGTATTTACCGCAAGGCTGGCTCTCAGATCTGCTGGAGGATTTGAATATTTTATGAGCCAGGGAAAATTGGATCTGTCAGGGAAGCTGTGCTTTTACTGCACGCCCCATTCCAGGTCTTTGATACAGACATGTCTCTCTGTCCCTCTCAATGAGTAAAGACGCTCCCGCTGTCAGATGGGAAAGAACAGTGATGACACCCACATTGAGTCATGGGAGATGCTGAGCGGGAAGGTGTAATACAACCTGTGTCACTCACCTAAAGTAGATCATCATTTGGCAAAGATAACTGAGACTTCACACAGAAATAGAAAAAGCTCTCTGAAATTAGTATGTAAATGTCTCTCACTCCCCTCCAATAAATGCTTTCAGCTCGGCAGTAGGTCAGATGAAGCCCTATTGTTTTAAAGCTTTTACCGCGCTGGCATACTGTTTCTAAGCTGATCAGCAGCAGACAAGATTGACTAAATACCCTCCTCATGTTCTCCAGCCGACTGCATCGCCAATTATAACAGCCAGATGGAAAACAAGCAGACCAACCTCATTGTGCCAGAGTCAGGAGTCTATGGAGATGTAGACTTGTCCAACAAGATCAATGAGATGAAGACCTTCAACAGCCCCAACCTGAAAGAGGGACGCTTTGTGGGTCCGGGGGGACAGCCGACGCCGTACGCCACCACCCAGCTCATCCAGTCTGCCATCATGGGAAACAACATCAACGCAGACAGAGGAATTGGCGGGAGCGGAGGAGGAGGAGGACTTGGAGTTGGAGTTGGAGGGGAGATGAACGAGAAACACTGCTGGAAGCCCACCTCAGTCCAGCAGCAGAAACAGGACATGGCCTCCCAGCTGCAGTACAACATCATGGAGCAAAACAAGCTGAACAAGGGTGAGTGTGTGGAAAACCCAGCGGCCAGCGCCAAGCCATGATCTTCCTCCGCCTGATACTTCCCCGCTTTCTTCTCATGGCTCTTTCATCCTTTCCTAAAAGGCCTGTAGAAAAGTTTCACGCTCATATTTTCTCCTCAGTCAACATAAGCGTCATCACTCTTTCTCTCTGCTTGTCTGTATGCCGTTCATGTAACCCCTCATCACCCTCTATGCAATCATCTGTAATCTTTGCTGCTAAATGAGGGCCCGGGCCTGAATTGCTGTCGTTGGTATCTGGGTCGTCTTTTCTGTGATGAAGGCAGGTGTGAGGGTTTATCTTTGGTGTCACATTTCTGAAGGAAAGACAAAGGTAACTCTGGGATCTTTAGGGGCTTTCAACAAAGCTATCATCACCTTGTTGTACCTGCAGGGAGGAACCACAGCTGGTGTGATAGTTTTGAGATTTTCTTTGTGCAGATGTTGCATGTCCTCACATACTCACCTGAAAGTATACAGCATGGACTGCATGCTTCTTCACTTTTCCATTGTGCAGTGTTTTTTTTTACGACTAGTAAATGTTATGCTTCTGTTATTCATCATGTAAGCTGTTTGATTATAAAGTTTGGGGTTGGAAAGATGTCTGCTAACCATAAAATGTATTCTGCCTACCATCAGATCGCTACAGAGGAGGGGACAGCCCGATGCCAGCCACCATCCCCTACAACCAGACACACGACAGTCACACTGGAGGCTCCTACAACAGCTCCGACCGAGGCAGCAGCAGCACCTCCGGTAAGACGGCCGGCACAAGAGCAGCTGGAAAGTCAGAGTTTTATTCTCTGTTTAAATCAACACATTTGAGGACTTTTTGCCTCTAAAGATTGTTTGTCTTTTCATGCTCTTTTTAATATAACTGTCAAAGTACTTTCCAAGCTAATTGTTGTTTTGAAACATATAATCACAATCATTCCCCCTTGCCCATTTGAAAATACGCAAAAGCAATAAATCAATTTGAGATGCTAGCAATTCATGCTTTAAAATGGTGATTCGATTAATTTCCATGTCAGCCTATCCTGAAAAGAATTTGAAAGGGATCGGCCTCCAGAAGGTGGAAAATTGCAGAACAAAAAGAGAAGAGGAAACAGACAACAATGCCTCCAAACAAAGGCACATGCACCCACACCAGCATTTTTGCTTCAGCCTTATGCTTGTTGGGTGAAATGTCAACTATGGGTTGTTTAACGCAAAGGAGATAAAAGGATCATTTAAAATCAAGTCTGTTTTATGTTGTTGTTTTCTTGCATTTTTTTTTTATCTCTCTTTGTCCTTGCATTGCTTCCATTAATTGGCTCTACTTTAATTCCAGTATGGCGCGGCCTAATTTCATCAGGGCCTCAATGTCTGTCTGCAGACAAGGACAAATGATAACACATTGGAGGCGGCATGCAACGCTGCCACCCTAATGCCATGTATCCATTCTGATATTGCATTTGAAGTTCAAGCCATTAAGGCGATGCCTTTAATGCTCGCTGCGCCTCACACCTCATTGGTTCACTATTCTAAGAGTTCACTTTTAATTGGACCCTTTTCTCCCATTTTCTTCCTACCTTTTCTCTTGGTGCTGGGTAATATCGCTGTAGGGAAATAACTGTTTTATAGAATTTCTCATGGTTTAATAACTGAGAGGTATGTGTGCATACATGCATTAAGTAGAGGGCTGCATTAGCCTTTGCACTCCTAAGTGTAAAATGATCGTCTTTTTCCTAGCCAGTCATGTTAAAGCCGTCAATTCCTTACTCATTACCTCTTGATTTCTTCAGCATCAATAATTGATGTGTTATTCAGACACAAAGCGAAAGTAAGTCGATGTGTGTGTAGGTATCTTGTGAGTAACAGAGTGCCTTTTTCCCCCCATTTTCTTAAAACAGGGAGCCAGGGTCATAAGAAGGGAGTGCGCACCCCCAAACTACCAAAACAGAGCACAATGAATTGGGCTGACCTCCTGCCCCCTTCCCCTGCAAACCCACCCCCCAGCCGAAGCACAGAGGAGTACTCTTTGTCGATGGAAGAAAGGTGGGACATGTCTGCACAGACGCGAAGACACAGACAATTTGACAGGCATGCACACACTATATTTAAATACTTCCTTCTCTATTTTTTTCTGGTTTCTCTCACTCACTGCGAGCACTTGCCCCCAAGGGTTTTCTATCTATTAGCGCCAGTTTCTTGTCAAACCTTGATAGAAAGGTGGCATGAATATTTAGTGCATGTTTTTCTGCCTGCAGTATATAAAAAACATGCATGTTTCCTGCGAGTGATATGAAGGTAATGAGGCTTATTTTTCTCCGTTGGCAGCTGTGACCCAGACATGCAGTGCCCCATGCCCCCCTCTCACATGTACCTGCAGCCAGACGAGCTCGAGGAGGAAGAGGAGATGGAAAGGGGTCCCACTCCTCCCATCCGAGGGGCAGCCTCTTCACCTGCTGCTGTATCTTACAGCCACCAGTCCACAGCTACCCTTACACCATCACCCCAGGAGGAGATGCAGCCGATGCTCCAGGACGCACCGGATAGCCATGAACGCAGGTACATCTTCATATGATATGGACGGGAGGGACTTGTCGTAAAAGAAACGTGATCAAGAAATACAGCTGTTCTCTGATACTCATAGAGAAACATGAGATTCCCAGTACGACCAATTGACTTGTGTTTACCATGTTTTAGTCCATTAACTCTCAATTCTGTATATTGTACGGTACTATTAGATCTCATTCGAAAGCATATCCTAGCCTACAGATTTATTTCTTACGTCCAAAAGAGCCATTTGTAGAACATCAAATTCAACCTGCAGAGATTTGTTCTTAAAAATGAGTAATACATTATCGTCTAATTTGAGTCTTTTCATTTAAAAAAAAAAGTGATAACATTGTGTTTTCATCCAGCTGTGACAACTAACAGTTTTAAATTGTAAGGCTCAACAAACCAAACCAAACCTTTTAAAAATAAGAAAGAATTTACATCATAGGTTATGTTTTCTAGTTTTTATTATGTTTTAGTTTTGATTCTGTGACAGCTAGCTGTGCTCTCTCGGCTTCATGAAGTTTCATGTGCTTCCGTCTTCCACATTAACTGATAAACAGAAATTGAATGCGCAAGTCATTCTTAGTTTATGGCTAATACATGCACAGCCACTATATGGTCCCATGATCAATGTCTGGTGTATTTGTCTTTCTATTTGTGTTTCCAAATCTTTCAAACTTCTTTGGATTCTGATTCTGTGTGTTACCTCCCTGCAGGCGCCACGCTGTGAGCCCCCCTCTGCAGCCCCTCTCCCCATCACACACATATGGGTACATCACCAGCCCGTTGGCCTTGGACACTGACGGCATGGAGGAGGAAGATGATATATTGGAAGAAGAGGAGGAGGAGGAGGAGGAGGGTGACGATACAGATGCAGAGGTGGCCAAGATGCACTACCACCACACACACCCCCACACACACCCCCACCATCCCCAGATGCATCCGAGGAGGTTGCTGCTACGAGGGCTGGAACAGACGCCCGCGTCCAGCATGGGCGACCTGGAGAGCTCGGTGACCGGCTCCATGATCAACGGGTGGGGGTCGGCTTCTGAAGAGGATAATGTCTCTTCAGGGAGGTCCAGTGCTGTCAGCTCATCAGATGGATCCTTCTTCACTGATGCTGATTTTGCTCAGGCTGTGGCAGCAGCGGCAGAATATTCTGGCCTCCGGGTGGCCAAATATCCGAACACACAGGGCCACGAAGTAGGAGGAGCTTCAGGTAGGTTTTTTATGATCAGCCACATCTACAAGAAAAGTCAGCGCAAAAAAATGTGGGGAAATATAGAGCTAACTGTTCCCTTATGTTTCTTTCCCAGCACGAAAATACCAAATAAACCAGTCAGGCCACCGTCCTGGTAGCCCGGTGTCCACAGACAGTAACATGAGTATGGCAGCTGTACACAGGAGGCCTCCGAAGAAGCAGAAACAGCATCCTGTAGGACACCCAGGGAACCCACGACGTGAAGTCTATAATGAAGGTACACATCTCATTTCAGGGAGGGGGGCTTGTAACTCACCTGCTAAAGTGAACATCATTTAAATATAAGTCCTTAATGGAGCAACAAGGGTTCAATTAAAACCCCAGCACTCTGCTGCATGATTTGCCAGTTCTGGCCAACCTGATTTGCCTTTCAAAATTCGGCTGTCTTTACCCATCTGAGGCAAAAAAAAAATTTGTAAATAAAAATATGCTCTAAAAATTACAGCACAGCACATTTCTTACACAGGTAGACTCAATATGCATTACAGTAATTAGTACTTTTTCTTACAGATTTTGAATCAAATACTAAAAACTAAGAGGACTGAATCTATGGGGATAGACATGGGTTTCTGTTGAATAGAGAAGAGTACTTAAAGGCTGACTTGTTTCTGCTATGGGGAAAAAAATATATATTTCAGAAACTCTTTGGCAGAGATTTTCTGTCACTGGTAGGAATAAGCAAATAGAGCCAACAGACTGATAAAGAGATAGACATGTAGCAGCAGTAAGTGGGTAAGCTCCGTCCAACAAGTGCACAGATGGTCACTTTGTATGAATGGCTCACTCTGGATTTCCCCTATGGCGGGAAAAGTGCAGTTTACTGTGATGTAGTATCCCTAAATGAAGGAGTATGGGTCTGCTACAGCCAAAGTTTTCCTCGTGTGTTGATGCTCATGCATACATGATTTTACTCCTGATCTGTGACGCTGCCGAACAGATTTAGGCGAGTGGTGGTCTTGAGGCCAGGGCCAAAGTAGGGATGGCTGGAAAGAAGTGCTTTGCCCAGCCTGGCTCTGCTGACACTGGGATATCTCTCCACTCAAACACTAATGAAATTGATCCAGGTGCACACGCTCATACAGAAGTGCCACCTTTCACTCTGCGGAGCCTGAACATAAAGCAAACAGGGGCTAAACACCGGAGCAGAAGGAGAAGCTTTAACCTTGTTAAGTAAAAGGGCAATTGACTTTTTACTGCTTCATTTTTTAAAACACACACAGCCTACCAGTGGCTGCTCTGGCTCCTCTGTGCTTTGATCTTTTGAAGGGTCTTTTTAAAAATATATCAGTATGTGAGTGTGTGCTTACGCTCTCTCTGCTGTGTACTGTATGTGCTGTCCCAGCACTGGCTCTCCTCTCAGTGTCAGGTGTCCTTGAGTGTTGGAAGCACTTGGCAGGGAGATTTAATATCCAGCTCACTGGGAGCCAGACCAACTATATCACTGCTGAAATCCCAGCCCTCTACCCCGAGCCCCCACCTGCTGCCATCATCCTTATATCCTGGCTCCCTCCCCATCTACTGCCCCTCCCCTCTGGAGTGATCTCTCCATCCCTCTCCTCATCTCTCTCCTCTTCTCCAGTGCTCCTCTCCCTCTCTCCTCCGTCTTTGTTTGAGCAGCGAGGGGGGCGGATGACAGCTCTGCGCCTCTGTCTGTCCATCAGCCCTCCTGCTGATTGCATTTGATCTGAATGGATTGTTTTTCATTTGGAGGTTATTGCCTCGTCTGTCCCCCACCTCTCTCTGTCTCCTCATCAACCCCCACCCTACATACCATGTCTGTGGTCTTGAAGGCTGGTGCTGAGGTGAGAAGTGAGGGACGGTGATATCTTGAAATTCAAAGCGGAACAGAAAAGAGAAAAACATCTGACTCATATGTTTTCCTGCTTTTCCGATTGAGACTTCTATATCATTACATATAAATGCACACGAATACCATCAGACGGCAGAAAAACAGACAAACATGTGAGCCAGCAATTGAGACAACCCCCCTTAGACCCAAGCAGCCTTCCTTCTCCATCCCTTAGCCCCCTTTGACCTGCTGTCTTTACTCACGTTTGCACAGTGGACGTGGAAACACCCTAGTTATATCCCCCCCTTCCACGATATATATATATATTGCTTTTGACTCTACTGCCTTTGTCTTCCTCTCTGAAGTTAACCCTCTCCTGTCCCTTTTGATCCCTCTCCTCCCTGTCCCTCTAATTAACCACCAGGCCTTGCGTTACACCCTCCTCGGCGAGCTCAGAGCCACATTTCAGTCCTGAGCTCCGTCCTCGCTGATATTTCCTCATAAATCTTAAGCGGCACTCTGCTCTTCCTGTATTGTGAGCTATATCTCACCGACTGTGGCATTGATCGGACTCAGACCGAGGCAGGACTCAGGAGGCAAGAGAGATATTAAAAAACTGCAGACGTCTCTCCGCTGTATGATATTGACTCGCCCCCCTTTTGTATTCAGGACGAGTGGATGGAGGTGGAGAATAATCAGAGGAGTGTATTGAAGCTGCCTGATTCCGCCGATGAGACGCAGCAAAGACATCAACCTGCACCGTTAGCCTTTTCGTGTGTTTAAAAGGAAATAAAAGCTTTGATTCTGCTTCACAAAGGCTACGAGTATCTGAGGTGGCCTTCAGGGTCTAAGAAAGGTGTAAGAGTTGGCACTTGCTACGTTTATTAACTTTCTAATCCTACTGGATTATGTGCCTGGACATCCTTCAGGTCGGAAGCTGATTAGAAGATGAAAAGCCAATCGATCGAAGTCGGACAAGCTTCTTCACTCGGTGTTCTGTTTAGATGTGATGTGAGAGAGGCTAGGCAGCCCGTCGGACGGTCTCGTATGAATAATGGCTCAAGGACGAGCAGCATTGATTCATCGACAGGAGGAAGTCGAGCCGGTCACAGAGCCAGCTGCTGACCGTCACGCTCCCCTCTTCCTCCTCGCTCTGATCTCATAACTCCTCTGGCCTTATTTCTGTAATGTCATTTCTTCTGTTTACTGTGGAGTGTGCAGCGCTCGGAGTATGTTCCCACACTGCAGCTGTGTTTGTGCATCACCTCGCAGGTGTGAGACAGCTGAGTGACAGATTGTAAACATAAAAGTTTCAAGAGTACACAGATTCTCCTTCCCCACACTTGTGTAATTACATAAACTGAAGTTATTGATGTCGGTGGTTAATGTGTTCTCCCCTCCTGTGTTTATCTTTCAGATCTCCCTCCTCCCCCCATCCCTCCTCCAGCAGTGCTAAAGTCGCCCACACACCCCTCAAAGGCTGCCCTGGAGGGGAGAGGAGTAGTTTCTCCCAAAACCGGTGAGGGTCGAGACAAGAGAGGGGGGACGGGAAGCTATCGACCCCGAGACGGCTCAGACACCAGAACCAGCTCATCTGAGCGCAAAGACGCTCAGGAGAGACAAAAGACTGCTCACGGGGGGAAAGGGAATAAACATGAGGGTAGCATGGCCAACAAGGCACGCCAACACGCAGGTAAAAAATAACACAACATGAGGGAATCTTTCTTTTTGGTTGTTGAATTTAAAAGTTAAAATTTGACCTTTGAATGTTCTTCTGTAGGTTCAGAGGATATTTTGCCCTACAGCCGACCACAGTTCCCCACAGTCAACAGCCCCTCGAGACCCCAGCTCCTCCAGCTCCATGTCCTCCAGGGGCTCAGGGGGCCGGCGGAGAGGAGAGGGAGGCCGCAGGAACCCTGCAGACATGGGCCACAACACCACGGGGGCCTTCGCACCAGGAGATGAAGAGCTTGAGGTAACCAACTACACAAATTAATTTTAGAAATCCAATGAGTAACGCCATCATTTGTCTGCTCTACTTTTGCAAGACAGAAGTTAAGAGAAATGTTTGTTTGTTTTTCAGATGGTAGAAAGCTGAAGAACAGGGGAGAAAAACAAGGAACTGTCCTGATTTTTCCAAGAGTGGAGCACCATTGTTTCTCTTACAATTTTAAATATCTCAGTATTTCACCATCATATTTGCTGCCATCAGTAGTGTTTCTTTACATCTGGAAAACAGACCAATTGTTTTTTTTTCTAACTTATCATTTTCTATGTCCATTTAAAAAAAAAAAAAAAAGGAAAGCGTGTCTGAAGACAAAGGAATGGTGCATTCAAAACAAAATACGCAGTAGTATATTTATGTTTAATTCCAATGCAATATGGAGTGCAATCCTACTCCAGACATTGACATGACTCGGCTTGCCTTCGACCAGAACTGTGTGAGCCCATACAGTCACATGTTACTGTAATAAAAAATAGCTGCAAGCAGAGAGAGGGGCGGACTGTCTGTAAATATACGTGTAAACATGATGTCTTCTTGTTTTACCCATCGTGGTACCTCAAATTTGTCTTCCATGTTTTTATTTTGCGAAATTCTAATTTTATTATGCCAGTAAATATAATTATTATTTTATCATTTCCATCCATGTTGTAAATGCTATATTATTTAGCTGCCCCAAGAAAGTGCCACTTTGGGATTTTTTTTTTTCTTTGGTTTTGTTTTTTTGTAATGCACTGTTATGTTTTGTGTTGTCGTCAATGTTTGTTATTTGTTTTACTTTGGTTTTAAAAGCACAATCACTAAACTTTATTTTAAACCATTCTATCTATTAACCTTTTTGTCTTACTGGAGGAAAACAGGTATGACAAAAGAGTCTAGTTAATCCCGATGATGATGATGATGATGATGATGATGATGATGATGATGATGTAGGTAAAGGTTGCTGTTTACGAAGGCTGTACTTGAAAGGAGACTCCTTGCGTTGTGATTGTCTCCCTCTCCAGTTCTGACGCTAGCTCAAGTGATGAAAAAGACAGTTAATGTGAGTCATAGCTGCAATGTAAATATCTTTTTTCGCATTGACCATAAAACTCAGCTATTGCACATTAATGGAAAAAACAGTTTTATTGTCTACTAATGCACTTACACGAATGTCAGAGACAGGAACGAAGAGTCACTTTGGGAATCTGGAGAGGTTGTAATTGGACAAGAAGAGTCTCTTTTCTTGACAGGGCAGGGGTGGAGGACCCCTGTTTTTAAGGAGAAAAGGGTGCTGTTGTTTATTCATAAGACATCTGCAAACATTTGTTTCGTAAAGCAAAAAAGCAAAAAGAACTAAAAAAAAAGAGATGAATAAAAAAGTTCAAACTACATCTGTTCTTCTGGTCATTTGTTTTCTCTAAAATGGTTAAGCTGTTCTACTTTGAGCTTTCTGAAGATATAAAGAAAGGAGAAGGTGCATTCAAAGTAACATCCTTTATCTGTGTCTTGAGTCTTATCACCTAAATACAGCAATTCAATGTGAGCATAGAATGTGACAGATTCTTCAAATCCACAAAAGTACACTGCATCCAGTTTTCAAAAGCTACAGGCAGTCTTATTATTCCAACACTGACAGTATTTTAAAGGGAAACATTGACTAGAAAATTTACTCCGTTCAAGATCTGTCTGTGTTCCATAAACACACTCTCCAGAGATGGTGGAACATGGATCTATCTTCTCTCTGTTGGTGAAAAATCCTGCCTGATGCACACATCTCTTTTCAGCCACTTACAGAAATATGTACTTGAAACTCACAGAAAAAATATGATTTTTCTGCTTTAAAATAAAATGTGATCATACAACAGTTATTGGCGGGAAAAAAGAGACCATCTCTCAGAAAAGTGGGGGGTGGAGGCGGGTGCAAGCTTTTGTCTGTGGTTGTCAAAATTAGATTTACACATGCACTAAAAACATAAAAAGTGGATTGTTTATTCAGAGGTGATTTGGAGAGAAGCAGGGTGTGTCTTGGATATGTCTGTTGCTATTTTGACAATGAAAACATTTGATGTTAATGCACATTTTTCAAAGCAATGTATCACTTTTTTTTATGTGGGGGGGGGGGGTCAGCTTTCTTGGGCTCTAACAGAAGAAAAGGTTAGGAACTGCTGCTTTATACCATAGTAAGATGTGTTTTCTTTGTTTGAGAGAATCTGAAAATGGGTCAGAGATGTAAAGTTTCAATTTTTAGAGAACTAATTTAATGTAAAACTTAGTTATTGGAGCATTTGTTGGAGAACATCATGCTCTAGCAATGACTGCTACTCAAGGGTCTTTATGAGGACTTAAATCTCTGCACACATCATTTTATCCTTGTTAAGCTCTATATGCATGGGTTTCATTGGGAAACTGCACATGCAGGAGCCTGTTTCCAATGGAAACGTCCTTGCGTATGAATACCTGTGACTGCTCTGTAAGGCTTTTAGACTTTTCAATGAAAAGATGAGAAATGAGTAGCACAGTTTCACTGATAGTTTTCAGCAGCAAGGCTAAAGTGTAAAGTATAAAAGCAGCTGTGGGTAAACATTTCAGCAGATGTGACGACTGATAGGTCTCTATCATGAGATCATCTTATGTACCGACACCACTGATATCTTCATCACAAAGAGTCATCATCTTTAAAAGGATGATGTACCCAATATGCTTATTAAACAGCAGATTCATGATTCTGTGCATGTGCATTGTTCAGAAATACATTACAGTGAAGAAAAATTGTGAAAAAAGAGGCTTTGGCTGAACGTGAATGAACTGAACTACAAACAGTTTGCAGTAGATTTTAGTCTTTTCATCAAGTTTCCTAACCATAAATAAATCTTTAGGCAGTACTTAAAAAAAAGATTGTACTCCTTTCAGTCATAAACATGAAGACTGAGGGTATAATCCTTAACAGTGTGTACACAGGGTACTGACATGGGTGGAAATATGAACAACAATTCATAAAAGTAATAAATGTATTTTACTGACATGTTTATTAAGGCTATAATTGAACAGCAACATAATAAAACTCAATGTCATTGCATCTGATGCATTCTAATTGGAAATCATCCAGAGCGGCCTCAACTGAAAGGACAACTGAAGAAGTTCAACAACACAGTGAAGGAGGAAACTATCGATATCCTCAGCTCAGAGGTTAAACAGCTATTTCTCTTCTGTACAGTAGCTGTTCAAATGTATTACCTAATGCCAATTCCATTAGTGTTCTCCATTACTCATAATATCAGCTCCCCATGTCATTCAGTGAAGGCATTTGGAGCCATAGAGGAGAAGCTAAAACCAACGCTGAAGGGATTATATTCAATTTGACAGGCCTAGATTGCTGCCAATTAGGCGTAAGGAGGCTTCAATGAGGTTACGTAAGAGAGCCAATACAGAAGTCATCTCACTGCTCATCATTCAGTAGCCGGTGGGATAGCTGCTGACACGGCAAAACAAAACCTCCATAAAATGGGAGGAGGACACAGAGTGACTCTATAGAAGCTGCCTTGTCCTAATTAGAGGCCGAACTACATTCGTTCCGGTTTATTACATCTAACCTGCAGATTGCTTGTTCTAACAGAGGCCATACATAGGCCTATGGGACTCTTAATGTCAACCGATGTCATTCTGGCTTATTCAAACATCAGTGAAGAAGAGAGCCGGTTCTTCCTCTTATTATTACCTCTGAATGAAAAAGAAGTGAAATTGGAGTCCTGTTTTAGCCTTCTGCTGAAAGCCCTCAGAGAAATTAGAGACTCAACAAAGGCAAGACTTAATTAATGCAGAAAAAATATTTGTCCATTTACAAGCATTTGTTTTTTATGATTTTATCACTTTTTTATTTTTTTTATTTTTTTTACAAATTAATCTAATAAAACAACAAACTGCTTTTTTTCACTGCTTTTCCTCAAATATGCAGAGCCTATTTGCTATCTTTTGGAAGGGATTGTTTTTGTACTGATATTTACGTAGAAAAACTCATTTGAAACTCACCAGTTTTATTCAATTAGACTATTATAATGGTGAAGCAATGACAACTGTGGTGCCTGAAATCCTGCCCCCTTCCTTCCCCTCTTCTTTTCCTCCTGTTGGAGTTCCCCTCCCCCCTTCTTTCCCCCAGGTGTTCCCTAATAAGCACCTTTTTAAACAAGAACAAATTTGGAACAGGGGAGAGCATCCCCTTATGCCTCCATCCATCATTTTAATGAGTGGAGGTGTGGCCAGGCCCCACAATGAGATGCAGGTGATTAAGGACATTAAGGGGATACTCTGTCTGCCAGGGTAATTCAGGCCATAATGGCATGAATATGCAGGATGAGGGAGGATGGTCTCCACAGTTACACTACCTGTGTGCTGGGGGAGGCTCAGAGTTGTAGTGACATGACCGAGAGATGCAAACGGGGGAAGGGGAATGAAAAATGGGTGAATCCGTAATATAATTGGACAATTTGAGAGCCGCATTGCATTGTGGGGCGGTTTAGTTGACTGGTATGCTGCTGCTTCATACTTAAAAATTCTGTAGCCCTGGGTAATTAAAATTACTCGTAATGTTCTTAAATACAGGCTTTCTTGTCAATTAAGAAGTTCATATACATTTTTATTGAGTAAACACGTTTTGATGTTATTTATTGCTTCTAAAAAAAAATAAAGAAAACAGAAGTCCAAGAGCAGTAGCGGCAGCGACGTGAAGCATTACAAAAAGACGCAGAAAGGAGTGTTTACTGTCCAGCCAGGTCAGTGAATAGTTTTCAGTGTAATTCACCACGTGTGGAACGTGAAATTAGGATTTTGGTGGTGGGCTTGGTTGATGTAGGCTAAGCGTGAGCTGCAGCGGCTAGCTGAGCTCTGACACAACAAGGGAAGAAGAAAATGTTACCTCCTCCAACGGTCCGCCGCAGCCATTAATCCGCTCGCTTTGTCTTCAGCTCTGAGGTGTGTAACTGTGACTGTTTAGACCTATACTTTTTACTTTGTGAGACTTTTTGTGAGAGTGAGAGCAGCGGCTAGCTGTACTCTGAGACCACTGAGTGAGAAAGGAGATTTTCGCCGCCCCGGCCACCCGCTTGTCATCGGCCTGTCAGCAGCTTGTCGTCAACCCGCTAGCAGCCCGACAGTGTATCCCACCAGCTTCAAGGTGCATTACTTGAACTCTGCTTCTGTGAGTACTCACCTGTTATTTCTGCGTAGTGGGCCGTGACTCCCCAGCTACACACATAAGGGAATTCAGTTTACGAGCCTAGGATGCTGCCTATTGAAAATGGTACAGCGCTACACACAAAAATGGAACACTATGATTTTGGATCATGAAAGTGTGCTGTTTTGTACACAGCCACAGATTTGCTGTTAGCTTACTTACTTAGCTAGCTAGCTTACTTACTTAGCTAGCTAGCTTACGGCTTAAAAATTCTGCCACCAAAGTTTTTCTGTTGAATTGGCAGAAGACTTCTGTTGGTTAGGAATGAGAAGCCTCTGCTTTTGTGTACCTTTGACTGAAAACAAGGACTTTAAATTTAAAATATTTTTGTGAATTTCAGATGGTAAATCATCCAAATTATACTGAACTGCAATATGTTCCATTTGAGAACAGATAGTTTACTAACAAAGGCCTGTGGGGCATTAACAACAGTCAACATTATTTAAATAATTTTACGTTACGCTAGTTATATTACGTCATGTTGCATCACATTACATCACGTTGTGTCATGTTACGTTGTGTCCTGCTACATTGTGTGTTTGTTGTGTCTTGTTTCACAGGACCCTGATTTGTATCTGCAGATATCAGGTTCAATGTCTTCTCAAAATAAGAAAAACACAAGTTAAAGTAAGAGACTGGCGCTAATTACTTCAAATTTACCATCCAGTATGAGGCCTCATCACTATATTTACTGTAATATAGGAATATGCTAAACATCTACAGTTTTGTATAGCACACTAATCTCTCCTCCTCTCCTCGTTTCCTCTTCCTTTGTGTGTTTAGTGGTTCACTTTTTGCAATCAATAATTTAAACTGCGTTGGCTTTCAACTCTTTCCCAGCAGCCAGAAACTAATTTCTTTTGTGCACATTCAGGCTGTCTCTCATTTCTGATCGCCAAACTGCTTCATTAACCTCCTTCCCAAACTAGGAGGTAATTAAGTGAACAGCTGTGCAATGTCTGACAACTCGGCTTACTGTCGCTATCTTCGGCGTGAATGCCGGCGAGGAGCCCGTCATCACAGGTGCACAGTGTTTAGACAGCTTACAGCACCTCTCCACAGCCATTACACTACAGCTGCAGGTCAGACGCCACCTCTTCAGACAGTCAATCAAAACTCATTTATGTTTAATGATCTCACCAACCGTCTCATCACAATTTCACA